CACGCGTTTTGGCCGTCAACCCTTGCACCGTCCAGTACCGACTACTGTCCATCGACCGGTGCCGCCCTTGAATGAGCAAAGGGGATATGGAGTGCCACAACCAGGGACGACATTGGCTCTACATCCAACTCCACCTCAGGTCAAGGAAGCAAATACCCCCCCCCCCCCCCCCAACCAGAAGCACCATCCCCAAAATCACGTACACCAGTATGCACTCACCCCAAGGGTGCCCTAGGTGTGGCTCAATAATTATGCAGTCTGGCCGAAGTGACGTATCATGATTCCGGTGCCGAGCAATTGCCTATGCCAAGGTCTGCGTAGAACCTCCTCGAGGTGATACAATCATTGCTCAACAAATGCAGAGAACGCTGTGTTTCTTGTACCTTGTTTACAGATTTTGGCAGGTGCACGTAGAATCTGACCCGTTCGTGGCGTGACGCTACTCATGTACAAACCCGCAAAAGCGCAAAGAACTCACGGAGCTGGCCAGTATGTTCGTCAAAACATTTGTGTAAAGGCGGTTGCGACACCCGCCCCCCCCCCCCCCCCTTCGCCCTATAGCCACGGCGCGGCGGAAGACAGGTACCTCTCAAGAAGTACCGAATGCACGGTCGGGGTCTGGCAATGAAAAGTGACGGGAAGGGCTATGCACTGGGCCGCAACAATGGGAGGTCCCATAGGCAAAACACACTCACTGCGTACTTTTCATACCTAGTCAGCTTCAACCTTGATCATACCTCTACATTTCGAGCTGTAATCTAGCAACGCTCGTAAACGCATCGATATAGTGTGTACTCTATTGCTCTTCCATACTTCCTCGTGATCTCCCGCGGTACCTCGTGCCGCTGAGGCACAACATCCAGTAGCCTATTCTGACCTGGTAGAGCCTGCAGGGTTTTCGATGGACTATAACGGATCTAAGCAATATACCGAAACCTTGCCTACTTCATCGGTCTTCTGTCTCCTACACCACGCCCTCTTCTGCAGGATCAGCCTTCATTCCGATCCTTCCCAGGTCCCTATCTTCATTGCGACTCATGGCCGTTCAACGAAGATGTGGGAGACTTAGAGAAATTGAACCCACATGGGCCAAGTGCTCTGCTCCATTCCCACAGTCCCAAGCGGTCAGGAGTGACGCCATTGTCCTTGTGGGAGGCTCGTGCTTGCCTTCCCTCCATTCCATCACAAAAGCCTCTTGTGGGGTCAGCGACAGCCTCAATTGCTGGGCAGTTAAAAACATGCCCGGGTGATGGTTGTAGCATCTGACTGGAGTCGAGTTGCGGGGAAAGACATGTCCCACATCGAAAAGTGAAGGAGGTTCTAATTCATGCTGAGCGGACCAGAGGATATATCGAACCGAATTTTCTAGGCAGATAGTTGAGCGGGCGACAAGAACAACATCTGGAGTAGGCACTCGAAAAGCTCATCATGGCTTTCTTTGCGTTGTCAAACAACATGTCCACACAGGGCTTGTTGGTCGCGGCCGGAGCTCTTCTGGTACTCCTGCTCCTTGCCGACTGGGCAAGAATGCTCTGGATGCGACGAAAACTACCCCCCGGCCCGTTTCCATTTCCCCTTGTTGGCAACCATTTCCAAACGCCCATCTACAAGCCATGGATCACATGGGAGAAATGGGCCAAGTATTACGACACTACGATGCTGACAATCTGGATCCGTCGCCACCCTCGAATTATCCCCAGCGATGCCTGGGTCGCTTCCGAGCTACTCGAGAAGCAATCGGACATCTTTTCTTCACGCCCTCACCTCGTGGTGATGGGAGACGCGATTAATTGCACAAATACTAATCAGACGACATTGAAGTATGGCGACCGCTGGAGGTTGCATCGTAAGCTAATGGTATTTAAGCCCTGTTTCCTGTCATCTGCCGTTATTGATTAAGTATAGCATATGGCTGTTGGGTCTCAGGCGGTACGCAATTACCGTCCATTCCAGGCGGATGAGTCCAAGGTCTTGATCCGAGACCTCTTACTTGATCCCGACGATTTTGAACTGTCCATCGAACGATACTCGGTCTCCACTGCTTCTATCGTCGGCTGGGGTCGTCGTATCGACAAGAAGAATGACTATGTCGCACAGCAAGCATTAAAGATGATGGAGTCGGTGAACCTAGTCATTCCCGGCTTGTACTTAATGGAGGCGACCCCTGCAATGTTAAAGCTACCATCTTGGCTATACAAGTCTCCGTGACAGCTTCTGATGGGGTCCTCGATCGGTGCGCGCTACTTCTATCTACTGACCCAAGGAAGGATCAACTACCAAGGCGGGCAATTTCGGAAAGTTCATGCTCAAGTCACAACAGAAGTACGAAATGACTGACGTCGAAGTGGCCGGCCTGATGGGCAATCTAATCGGAGGAGGTGTCGACACAACTTCAAGCACTATGATTGGCTGTATTCTGGCTATGGCATGTTTTCAAGACGTCCAGGCTAAATCGCACAAGGAAATGGATGAAGTGATTGGACAAGAGCGCTCACCAGACTGGGCTGATATTGACCAAGGCAAGCTTCCGTACCTCGCCGCCATCGTCAAAGAAGTTCTTCGCTGGCGTACTGTGACCGTCCTTGCAGGAATTCCCCACGCCAATACTAAGCCGGTGGACTATCAAGGCTACCACTTCCCCGCCGGCACAAACTTCACTGGCAATATGTGGGCCATTCATCGTAACCCGCGCGACTTCCCTGAGCCAGATGAATTTCGACCTGAGCGATTTCTCAAGGGACAAGAGAGGCCGTACCCAAACGCCAGAGGTAGCAACCCATTCGGCTGGGGCAGGCGGCAGTGCAGCGGACAGCCCATGGCGGAGCAAGGATTGCTCTAATCCCTGGGCCGCATGATCTGGGCCTTCAAGATTCAACCAGGCCTTGATGAAGAGGTAAGAAATACTTCTCCTAGTACAAGTTCCCTGGTAATTCTTTTTTTTTTTTTTTTTTCCGGGTTTAACAGAGAAAAACTAAGCTAACGCACGATACAACCGTTTACAGGGTCGAGAAGTTAAGCTCGACATCTTCAACTACACCGAGAGCGAGAATACGCGGCCTGAGGCCTTCAAAGCTCGATTTACCTCCCGGTCTGAGAAAATTCGGGAGCTCATCCTGTCAGAAGCTACTGAGGCCAGGGAAGCGTTGAGGATCGATGATGGCGAAACAAAGGTCAGAATGGAGGATGCGGTGGCTAATCCAGCGAGAGCGTGAGGTCCTCCGAGCTGTACTCCGATCTGAATGTGTTTCACGCCATACAACGCCATCATTGTATCTACAGAGCAGATAATGATCCTGGCGGGTTATAACCACGGTTCGCCTGTGGTCCAATCAAAGTACTTTGCTAGCCTTGATTGGAACAACTGCCCATGTCCCAGGGCACGTGATATGCTGAAGCTTATCGTCAGGCACGTGGGAGCTTAAATGAATCGAGCTTTGAAGGGCTTCACAGCTACGTCGCAACTGAACGGAAAGAGACATGGGCCCTTTGGAGTGAAATTCCGCAAAGCAGTCGAACACTCATCTTAATCATTGAGGTCAGGCGAAAAACACTCATTATCTCATAGTAAGAAAATGTATTTCAAAAGGAGTTTCGTAACAGATGAAGAACGCGTAATTACTATGTAAATCTTGCATGTACACTAGATTGCCAACGCGTTGGTGAAGTCGGACATGTTTACACTTCGCCCAGCCCGCGAGTGTGCTGCGAGCTTGGAGAAGAGGAGGTCCAGCATGCCCTGGATGTATGGCTCGTATCTCAGGATGCTGGTCATAGAGTACGCCGACGAAACCCGCTTCCTCAGGAAGGAATGTATGTTTTTGTCTTGGGTCGCGAAGAGCCCGGGGGCAACATCCGGCATGTCCCACACCTTGTACCATGCCGTCTTGGTAGAATTGTGGCCATGGCCGTAGAGAAGCTTCATAGGGTTTTCATCGACAATAGAAAGCTCATTCGGGGCCACTCTTACGACGCGACCGTAGTTTCGGTGCAGAACTGGCGGTGTTTTCGACAAAGCTCTTCTGCGAGATTCGGATCGGGGATGTGATAATGTACTGATTTTCATCATCAAGAGCCTTCATAATTCGCAGGCGGCAGCCCTCGTCAAAATTCCACCGGCTTTCATTACCCCCAGGATTGTCGGACGACGCGTGGGAGATGGCCAGCTTGCAAAAAAGGTTCTCTTGTTCATAGTTTAGAAGCTCCGTCCAGAGGCCGGGCATCAACTGCCGAAAATTTCTTGGCCGGCTTGCCCAAGCTCTGGCCATCCTCGGATCAGCGCCCCCATCAGCAGCATGGGTTGGTCCGAAGGGAATAGGTCGGAGATCAGCGGAAAATAGTGGTTTCACTGGATACCGTGCAGTACTACTTGAGTCAGGCATGCCATCCTGATACATCAGACTCTGAACAGCGGAGTAGCTGTTTTGATCGTCCCCTGGATGGATTGAACATGTGAGAGGGTCCGTGGTGGTGGCGCGACATGTCGAAGCACTTGGTGCATAAGATGTATCTGGCAGTAGTGGACAGGAAGAGATATCGTAGTTGTGAAGCAGAAAGTCCGCATCCAGATCGAAGTCTACGTTGGCGAAGGGATATCCCAATAGATCAGGGATATTTTGTTGCTAATCGTTCTCACCGATGGGAACAAGACCACTGAGGGTAGCATGGCGTGCTTGAGGTATGGGCGCTGCAGAAGAGTACGTTGGTGGAGATGTTGTGTTTGTCGTTTTTTGTGTACCGTCCGTCGTCGAAGCTGCGGTAACAGGCCTGACTATCGGGGAAGATTGACACCCAAGGGAAATTGTATAGCTGTATCGCATGTCTTGGAGACTGGCGATAGCCCTGCCATCGTCGTGCCCCCTGCCAAGATCTCCACCTGACCTTGATGAGGCATTGATGATGGCATGGTCCCAATGTCAGGAGATGGATCTTGTCTCAGATCGATGGCGTTGCCGGGTCCGGGGGAGAGAACCGAAGCCGTCTTCGTGTGACCCTTGAGGTGTCGGGTCAATACATCACTGGCGAACCTATTTGCGAGGTTCTTGTGGGTTGTGGCAGGAAATAGTCGTCCGCGGGTAGGACATTAGGGTGAACCAACCTCCGGCCAAAATGTTTACCACAGATTGAACATTTGTACGGTTTTTCTTTGGTGTCTATATCGCATTTCATGCGTCCTGTTAACGCCATTGTTTTTTCCGAACGGAACTGACAGCAGCAGCAATGACTTACGAGCTCGTTCGTGACGGCGCAAGTGCTCGGTCTTGGTGAAGGTGCGATCACAGTGGCGTCAGTATTTTGTGGCCATAGTAGATTAGAGCTCTGCTTGTGCATCGATAGCAGCGTTATCCAGGCGCAGACAAATAGATTGGGCACTCCACGAGGCACTATGCTGGATGTAGCTGGGAAGGGAACAATGTGAAAAGTGATGAAGCGGGGAATTGGAGCTGAAGCACTCAATCTCTGCAGCCACGTGACCTGAAGTGCCATGCTGGCCCTTGAGTGGGTCTCGTCCCCAAGACATGGGATGGGAAAGTGGTCGAGACGAAGCCGCAGACGGACGCTGCCAACACCTGGGAATATGTTCTCTCTCGGAACCTGGTGCGTAATAGACTGTCGCGTCTGCTGCTAACAGAAGAACGCTCCCGCAATTTGGCAGGATAGGGAATGGCAACTGACCCCACATGTTGGGGCATCATTCATCATATGGCAACCTACTCTGGACGTAATAACATTCAGCCCCTTCCTGTCCTGACGTTGCCCTGCCTTTCGCTCCAGAGATCGTCGACCCGAAACACTTCCACACTACAGACGTCGTAGTCCTCGCGACGGACAATCGTGTATGATGAGTTCTTTCCGCGACAAATTATTAGCCACGACCGACCGGTTCATCCGTGTCATGAGCGGCGGTACAGTCGACGAGGTCGTGTCGATTCGAAGCGCCAACTGTGTCCAGCGTACCTTACCATCGTCGCTTAAAGCACCGTCCATGAATAACAAAGAGTTTGCGGCTTTTTACTCGTCCGTATCAGGCGACCTCTCCGATTTTCAAGTCTGGCTCGCACCCGATACAAAGCCGATTGTCGACGAGACGTCCAGACGAGTGGCTCTGCACCCCCATTCCCGCGCCAATGGGAAGAATGGAATTTACAGCAACGAATATATATTCCTGCTTCTCATGTCCGAGGACGGATCGCTTCTGGAGGAGGTCGTTGAGTTCACAGACAGTGCGTACGTCCAGAGCTACTTCCAACCGAAAGAATAAGTAGTGCTTGAAGCATGGCACGGAGAGCGTTTTTGAATCACACACAAGGGACTGAAAGAGTCATGGATTGTAAGATCTGTTTTTCGGCAGCATCTCTAGAGCGGTGTGCTCTGGGACAATCTATATCCTCACGCCTGCATTGATTCATCGTCGTCTCTGGAAGGCGATGATCTCTCGAGAGAATACATGTGTTGGCTAGCTGGCAATTTACGTTCATTCTCTGCAAATGCCAAGTAATTGGTGTTCTTGACTTTTCTCGGGCAACATGCTTGTTTATATAGCCGGACCTGAACAGGACGTAATCTGGCCGTGAAGAGAGAGGATCTCTTCAGTACCCAGAAAATCTGGCTTCATTTGATGATTGAGAGGTCTTACGCTAAAGGCGTGTTCGAAAATCGTCATAGGCCGTCTGTCGCGCATAGTTCAGCTACTACTTATCTACTACTTAATCTTGAACAGAAATGAAGGAGCTCTTGTGTGTCACGAGAGGCACAACGAGCTTTCTTTCCAGAAGATCAAACATCAGCATCAGAGGCCCTCTGGATAAGATTCTCTCTCTATCGATGTAGTGAAATATGTGAGCAAAGTCGGAGCTCGTGGGTTAGGATGTTGAGCACATTGCTTAATGGTAACGGGATATATCGACCTGGCCAGGGTTTTCTTTTAGCCCGGTGCGAGAACAGAGCTACGCGCAGAAGAGGGAGAGCGTGGCCTAGTGAATTTCCGGTCCCTGTCGGTTTGATGGTGGCAAAGAATTGCGCTGTCCGAGGATATGTATTCTCGATGAGAGAGATCAGACAAACTATATATCAACCGTTCATCTAGAACACTGTGATTCACTTGCATTCGCTTTCCACCATGGACTATGAAACCTCAATTACCGCAAATGTAGAACTCATAGAGACCTCAGCAGGCTGCTGGACAGGGAGCTTATGCCTAACCAAAAGCCACGTCGAGTTTGCGTTGAGAGCTGCACCACCAGCGTGATAATGCCGTTTGGAGAACAGAGATTGAAATTGTTGATTCCGAAATCAGTGTAGACCTGGGTTGCATACGCATGCAAGGTAGGCATTCCTATCCAGTCCAAACCATGGGCGATCTTTTGCATTAAACTAGACTTCCCTAACATGATATCCATGAAGCTTCGCAGAAATCCCAGGAGAGTCAGTGGAGCACGAAAAAGGCGCAGATCTGGGGAAGTCTATATCCTCTGCAACATCAAGGTAGGTTACATGATCACATTCAGGGGAGAAATGTCTGTTTTACTGGCGGACTCGTCCAACGTTCAAAGAAGATGTGGCGTTTAGTCAGTGGCTATGTATTGGACGATGATGTCGTCTTGGTGACTCTTAAGATCAACCGAGTCCAAGCATAGGCCCCCCCAAAAGGTCTTACCGCAGAGTGCCATATGTCGTTAGCCCAGTTACAATTTGCCGCGAGTTGAACGGGAAGATTCTGAAACCTCGCGAAACTGTCTGTATTTCTTCGGCCAGATCCCTTGTTTCCCAGGAGAAAGTATGCCATCTGGGTCAACAGCATCCTGCATCAGAACTGTCAGCATGACGATCTTGCCGATAACGACCCATAGTGACATAAATAATGACTAACCTTAATCTTTTCGACAAATCTGTTGTATGCGTGATTGTTGAACTCGTTGAGATCTGCAATCTCATCTGAAATCTCATGTGAGCGAATCTCAAGGCGGTCTGCGTGGCATCCACTTACCCATGTGATTGACATGACCACGGTACATGCCGTATCCCTTGTCTTTCGCGACTTTATGCATCTCATTGTAGGCCTTTTCCACGTTCTTGCACTGCTCGGAACTCAATTGGTCGTATGCATACATGCTCGTGCAAACTGAATGACGTTCGTGCATGAAAAAATCCACCATGAAGTCGAGATCAGCGGCGGCATAGATGTCTTGACAAGCACGTACCCATCCCTGGATATGTTTGCCTGTAGAAGGGAGAACAGGAGCGTAGTCACCGTGAGCTGCTTTCCCCGATTCTCCAAGAGGCCAGTCCATGAGAGGCAGGCTGAACAAGGACGGAACTCCCGCCAGCATAAGGCCATGCTCCGGGGGGATAGACTTCGCGTCTAGAGGCTTTCCATTTTCTTCCGTGTACAGGAAGCCTTCCATGGTGCCTGTGGGTGCTTTTCGAGAGAGCTGTTCTTTAATTTCGGCTAACTGTGCACTGAGAACCCGTTCCGGACCATAAAGACCCCAGCGGGCGACCCAAGAGCCCACTTTGAGCTCCCTCTGCAGCTCCTTCAGGCGCCACTTCGGGATGGCACCTTCGCCTTTCCAGAACGTATTCCGCTTACCACGAATACATAGTATCTCTCCGAAGTTTTGAACCCAAATCATGTTTGGAATCAGGGAGGTTCGTCGCATCTCTGCCAGTGCATCCACCAACACCTCTATGTCTTCGTCCTCAGGCACACTGAATGAACATGACATAAAGGCAGGTGGTCGGGGCGCAACCCACATGCTGAGCTTTGTAACCACACCAAGGTTGCTTTGCAGAAATAAACCTTCGACAGATGGACCGTATGAGAACTTGGATACGAACGCCGTTGGCGAATTTGTGATACCCCACTGCCCTGTACGTACCAGGTCACCATCTCCAAGCATGACTTCGAGACCAGCTGTATATTGGTGGTGATTCGCATAGGCTCCATAGCCAACGCCCCGGTCTAAGGTCTACAAGAAGAATTAGCCCCACTGCGCCAGAATCATTGGGGGATACTCATTCACATTGCCGATGATACTTCCCCAGCCGAGAGATGGAATGCTTGGCCAGACTTTTTTCCCATGTTCGATACAATAGTTGTAGAGGTCCTGAAAGGTGACACCAGGTTCTACCACAGCATAACCCTGCTCGTCGTTCACCTCAAGGACACGATTCATACGATGTAGATCAAGAGCGACAGAGCCGTTCAAGCGAGGTGCTGGACCTCCGTAACTTGCCAGGTCCAATTTCGTTAGTACGTAATATAGGCAGGCTGTGTTGTAGAGTAAGCACCTACCCGAGGTTCTTCCCCCTTGAGAATGTCCACAACGGGATGTTGAACTTCTTGGCCACTTGAAGCACTTGACTGAGCTCTCCGGTCGATTCAGGGCTACGAAAATCATTATTACATTAGTATCGACAGAATGTATCAGGTTCATCACGGCATGCATACTTACCAGACAGCAGCGCTGGGCATCTTGCGCTTCGACTCGTCATTTTCATAAAGCTCGTACGGATCGATATAGTGCGCCAGTGCGTCCCCGATGAACACTTGGGTCCGACCGACTATGGCGATGAGATCACGCAACGCTGTCTCGAAGTCGGCTCGGGTAACATTTGGCGGTAGCACCGATTTGATAGGCGCAATTTTTGGGGGGGCGAACGTTTTTTGGTGCGCACGGTCATATTCAGGGTCTGCATAGGTATTCACAGGTAATTTGGACGTCATGACGGGCTATCCTTCGTAGGCGATCTTTGTTTGGCTGGGAGATCCAGTGTCGCTGTCGGAGTCCTATATATCATTCTGTGGTCATAGAAGTCAACGACGACAGTCAGTAGGTAACCCCCCAATTACCCATTCCAGCTGGCCAATACCGATCCACTATCACCTACTCGTTGGAGAAGACCTACACCACATGGGAGCTCAGCTCCACATGTCGCCAAGATATTATTATAGTACCGCGAAGGGTTATACCTCTTAGGGCCTTCCTTTGGAGAAAACCCCTAAAGATCGAAAGGGAAGGGTTGACCGAGGGGTTAATATGTTAGCGTGGCTACGGATGGAGATTAGAGCAGGGACCACAATCAAAATGACCTGATGGCCATACCAGCCTGACCCGATAAGGAAGGTATACCGCGGACAGGAACAAGCCCAGGGATATGACGGATGACCCCTCCTTTAGTACTCGGTATAGCGCCCAAACCATTAGGGGAAAGGGACTAATAGTCTATACGTTATGTAAGAGGAAAATTAAATGTTAGGAACATTCGAGTGTGTGACGAAACGGCCTAAAGGCTGACCATCGACCATTTTGGGTGGCAGGCAGGCAGGCTAGCTGAAAAGAAACCCGTGATTACGAATATTCATATGTTGTGTCATCCCAGCCTTGATCCGTCTGCCCATGATCATCTGGAGTTAACCCTCAATTATGCGTGCCGCTGCCAAGATTGGAAAACAGTACTTCTTCGACCTGAGCGTTTTCTAGATTATCGCCCGCCGTATCCGAGTAAGAAGGGACACAATGCATTCGGCTGGGGAAGGAGGCAGTACGATGGTAACACAAATGTTGTGATTAAAACCTTAAATAATACGAGAAACTGAGACGGCGAAGGCACCGCGGCCGCGTTACTGGGGACGGGCTGGCCCATTTCGTAACAACGAGGGGTTGGTGGAATTGCTATCTCTGCAAAGAAGCTATGAACCTCGTGACCAGGAACTGTGGAGTTTGAAGCAGAACACTCCATATCCCGCAAGACAAGCATCTTCTATTTTCCAACAGCTGCGACTGCCGTCATGTCCGAAGCTATCCCAGAACATCGGTGTCGGGGTTATACATTTGGATTAGTGGTTCACATATGGCCAAAGAAGTACTGTTGTGGGAACTTGAATTGCAACATGCTACCTCTATGCCAGACTTGCTTACGAGACACTTGCAGTGATGCTGTGCTCCATCATTACACCATCACACCCATTGACACGATCGACCTGTTCGGTGTCCTAGAACTTGGACTCTATGCCGGTAAAGGCGAAGTTCTTGTATGCTGGGAACCTCTCCTCTGGATCCCATTGCGCTCGAACCTTCAGCCATTTCTGAAGGTTTGCCTCGCTCATCACCTGGATAAACGAAGTCTTGATTAGCAGCGTTCGCGCAACGTGGAACTCCGTAGACTTGCTTACCTTTTCTTTCCGATGAGTTACGTCGTAGTCTGCAATATATTGGCCAACGCCAACAGCAGAGGCTTTGGAGTATCGATCATACATCCACTCCCTCATGCGTGTGTCGTCCGTTGGATCGGTCCAGTAATTCATCGTCGACATGTAGTACTGCTGCGGTAGGCTCCCGGCCATGTCGGCAGCATCGGGGTAGCACTCGGCGATGTATATACAACTCACTGACCGCCGTGACGGCAAGTCGCACATGGGCCCCTCCATGGTCCGAACCAGCTAGAAACGACCAAGTCAGTGACGCGCTCAAAAGATTGGGAAGTAGTGAAGTAGTCTACCTCTTCTCGAGAGACCTTCGGGCTGCTGAGGATGCTATCACATTGCCAGCGCTCGCCCTGGCCCTAAGGGTTCAGAGCATCTTGGTCATCAAAGAGTCGTTTTCAGGTCTTATGCTGGAGATCTTGTTTTGCTACGAGTAATTTCTTCAGATCCTCCGGAATCTTGTTATACTCGCTGAGCATAGTTCTTGCTTCTCCTTCTGAATCAGCGTACGCTATCACCTCGATGGCCATAAGCAGTGTTTTGTCGGTGATTTCGTCGCCAAGAGGGAGCGAATTCTTGTTGGCATAGATAGTTGCGGCGGCTGTCTCGACGCCATATCTCGGGGTGCGGTCGTTGGTGTCCAGCATCCACGAGCAGATCTTCCTCCAGTTGTTAGAAGCGTTGAAGATCAATGTCGTAGTGTAAAACTGACGGGCGGGCATTGTTCGGGCCCAAAATCTAGTTACAATGCCAAAGAACCCTCGGCCACTTCCTCGTGCAGCCCAGAAGAGATCCGTGTTTTTTTCTCGGCTAGCAATCACGACCTGCCCTTCCGCCGTAACAATCTCCATCCCGAGGATCCAAGAGTCAGAAGTCAGGCCCCAGCCTCGGCAAAACCATCCTTGTCCCCCACAAAGCAAGAAGCCGCCGGCGGCGACGGTCGGCGAGTGTCCAAAGGGGAAGAACCAATTTAGCTCAGTGCACGCCTCCGCGAGCTCCTTGGAGATACGGCCAGGACCAAAAGAGATGTTTTTCGTACTTGCATCATAATCGATCGAGGAGTTCAGATGCTTGACATCGATAAGCAGACCGCCTTCCAGAAGGGAGCAGCATGGGAACAAGTGGCCACCTGCGCGGACACCGATGGGTTGCCCGGGAGCAGTAGCCTGTTTCACTGCTTTGACGACATCTGCAGTCGTTGACGGACAGGATATTGCAGCTGGCATAGCTGCCGGTACGCGAGCGTTGAAAGACCTCGTTCGAAGTTCCTCATATTGGCTATGATCACGGCCAATGTGCTCGTCGCTCAAAGAAGTTGATGACATCTTGTTGATTGTATCGCTGAATGTGCAAAGTCACTGACTTGCGCACACCATTTGCGTTCTCCTTTGTATTAGCTCTTTCCCGCATCGCCATGTTGGTTGATATGGCATGGGCAATCTACATCCTAGCTCGTGGGGAGGAAGCCTCCAGAGGGTTTGCACGAACCCCACAAAGGGTAAGTTCCAGTTGGGATTAGGAGCTGTTCCACCAATAGTGACCCCACATATATCTTTTGGGTGACCACCATCTCACCAGCTTGTTTGAGAGGGGTGTGCAGGTTGTTCCGACCAGCACGCTCTGGGATTGAAGGCAACACTGCCAATTATTAACGCAGCATTCAGCCCCCCCCCTCTCCCCCCCACCCCTGATCTTCCATTCTGCACTTCGGCGTCATGTCTAACCCCGAGAACAAAGCCGATACTGTCCCGTTGTATCCTGAGAAATGTGAAGGTATCCCAGCGCCATTGCTGCCCAAAGCTGTAAAGGAGAAATTTCGACTACTGTCCAACTTAACCAAGAATGAAATAACTCAACGGAAAAGAGATGTAGCGATACCGCCAGGTGTCAGCAAATAAACCTTTAATCAGGCTCTTAAAGAGCTGGAAAAGAAAATAGGCGAGCAAAATGTCGAATTGAACGACAAACCCCTCTGGGATGGCTGGTAAGTGGATACGAGGGACTGGATATGAAGTGCGAGTTGCTGATCTGCGGTCTATCCAGGTACATGGAACTTATGTTGGCGCTCAAACAAAGCTGAAGGCATGAACTAAGAGTTACAAAAGATTGAACTAGATCCTAACACGCATGATGCCTTCATGATTCTGAACCATGAGGAATTGGTTTCCTCGGCGGTTGTCTATCCCGCCTCTGTGGAGGAAGTCCAGGCCATCGTTGAACGAGCAAATCGCAGCCAACTCCGTAGGAGGCTCCAAATATCACACCCAATCGTGATCTTCAGAGAATGAATCCCTTTCGGCATGGCCCGCGTCCGCGGACTCGCAATTCCGTACCACGAAAGGAAGCGAGAGGGGCGCCAAGGAGGTTTAATTGCACTACATTCACAAGAGACCACTATCAAAGATGCCTGAGAGTCAAGGGTCAGTTCCACGTGAGCATCACAAAGGACTTCACAGCCCAATACCGGGGATGAGTGGTTTTGACTGGAGGCCCATCTCGATCGAGGGTAAGAAGCAGTCTAGCCAAAAGAGCATCCTTACATTTGCACTAGTCCCAAAGCACCATAGTCGGGTGGGGAAATGGTCGACGATGAAGGTGCCTGGGTGCAAGACTAAGCCATCACGTGAAAGTCTCCTTTTTTCCAATCATGCCAACATATGATTCACCGTTGTAGACCTTGCCTCGGAATTTAGATTATCCGGCAAGTTAAGTTTTGGTCGAGACTTTTCTGAACTCCTACCTAACTCGCAATATGACATGGTAAAGACCCATGTCTATACAAGTTTTCGCTCATGGGCGATGTTCGACCACTGAATATACCCATCTCAGCTGAATTCCACACAGTTTTACCCAAACTCCTCTGTCACTATCGGAGAAAATAGGTCCGCCAAGCCGAGTTTGAAAGCAACAGGATGATAAGCCTCTGATAAAGCCGAAGTATAAGGATTGGTCAATGTGAGCCGAGGAGTCATTTTCGCCTTGGACGCGCTGTGAAGTCTCGTCATTTTCTGAGGTTCTAGTATCCTGTTCAAAGACCTGATGGGCATAGAAGCTGCGCCCGACCATCCAGAAGGCTCGATCCAATCGGCACCCCCAAGCGCTTTGCGATGGACGGACGAGCATGATCCAGAGAACCCGTAAGTGGAGCGAGCCATCTCCGACCTCTGACGAGTTCTTATTGGTATGCTAGATTCAACTGGCCGGCGACAACGCGATGGAGAGTGGTAGGTCTGGCATGTTACGTGTAGGTCTTGACAACAAGCTGCGTCGAGGTATCGTCGAACTGATAAACTTTTAGAACTTTTATTGTCGGATGGAATGCCACCACCATCTCGGGCGCAGCGCTGGAAATCGGCGAATACTTCGGCGTCAGTGATGAGCACTTCCCCAACTCATTCTGGCCCGTCACGTCTTGGGCAACCGGCGCTGCCATTGCCCCTATGATTGTGCTGCCCATTATGGAGGATTTTGGCGTTCGTCCAGGTTACTTGGTGAGTGTCATCTGCACGGGCTGCACGGTAATGACCGCTAGTCTATACTAACAGATATCGGGAGGTTAGATCTCTTATTTCACGTTTTCAATCTTCGTCATCCCGCAAGCTGTGGCCAAGAATTTCGCGACACTGATTGCCACTCGCTTCTTCGCTGGCTGTTGCGCTGGAATCCTACAGGATGGAACCGACGGCATTGTCGCCGACTTGTTCCCCAACCCTGTGAAGCGAAGCCTACCGATCAGCTGTTACGTGTTTTCACTACTCGCCGGGGTTACAGTCGGTCCGGTCATTGGCGGTGCTATCAACGCCCACTTGAATTGGCGATGGTACGAGACTGTCCGGTGGACGAAGGGTGAAATCTTCTGCTGACCGAATCAGGATATTCTACAGCCAACTGTGCATCTACTTTGGCTCACTCCCGTTTATATTTTTCTTCATGAAAGAAACTCGGGGTCCTGTCATCCTGTTGAAGCGGGTCAAAAATGCAGCTAATCAAGAGCAATCCAATATCTCTGAGCTGGAAAAACAACAGCATCACGTCAATATTCTGCAGTTCGTGAAGGACAACGTTGTACGGCCTGCCTATATGCTTGTCACGGAGCCGGTTGTCTTCTTCTTCACCCTCCTGACAGCACTGTCCTACGGCATCGTCTTTGTCTCGTCGCAGAGCGTGGCCCAAGTCTTCATGACGCTGTATGGCTGGGAGGAGCACCAGACCGCCTACATGCAATCGGCGGTCGTGGTCGGCGAATTCCTCGGCCTCCTCGTATGCCTCTATCAGAACCACCTGTTCGAGAAGGCGTTCCGACCCGAAAGTCGCACGCCCAAGTCTCGACTTCCAGAAGTCCGCCTGTACATGAGCATCCCCGGCTCTTTCATCGGACTGAGCGGCGGACTCTTCTGGTACGGCTGGACAAGCTACAGCTCGTTGCATTGGATCCTGCCCGCCATCGGCCTGGCCCTTACCGGCATTGGCAGCATGGTGGTCATGCAGGCCGTCATGATGTATCTGACGGATGCTTATGCAAAGTATGCTGCGAGTGCAAGCGCCGCCGCCTGCGCGGGAGAAAACGTCTTTGCCGCATTCTTGCCTCTGGCGGCTCAGGCAATGTACACCAACCTCGGTTTTCACTGGGCGAGCAGTGTTCTGGCGTTTATTGCACTCGCCTTGAGCTTCGCGCCTATAGTGCTCATTTTCTACGGTGAGACCATCAGGAAATGGAGCCCGTTCATGTCTCAAGCCACATATGAGTGAGTAGCCGGTAGAACTGATGGGGACCTGGTGAGAAGCTGGTACTTTAGATGTAAATAGCCCAGCAGAGCAAGTTCCGGAGTCGCTCCCGAGTTTTCAACCGTGGCTATAGAGCTAGATGTGTGCCTCGTATATTACCGAGTTGCCAGAACTGTGAAACCTCGGGTGCAAGGGTCGAATCCCCCTGCGCTGGAAGATCGATTGGCCAAAACCAAGATAAGCTTATCGAGCGAGTTTCGGGAGGGGCAGCACCAGAGACGGTGAGATGTCGGAGGTGTGCACCATCTTCTATGTTCCTGTAATTCGATATTCCTACGCTCGACGACATATTCTTGCGTGAAGCCGTGGCCACCAGTCGGACAACATGGCCTGCATGGGTACTGCTGCCGGCGATCGACCCTCTTGCTCAACCTCCGAGGTTCAAACTCACCGCGTTTCTGATTCTGCCCCGAACCCTCCCATCGGCGGTTGTTGCGTCGACTGTGGCAGCGGTCGAACTGCATGTGACGGTAGGTGCCTCCTCCGTTTGTTTCCTGGCTCACCTTAACAGACATACACAGATGGTTGCATCCGTAAGATCGCTGCAATCGAGTGTCGTGCCACTTGCGGAAACCAACTCGAAAACACTGCTTCCATTGACCTTGATGAGTGTCCCGAAAAATGCTGCCGGGATGCTGGGAGCAGCACCACTGTCAACAAGAAACCCGTACCCGAGTCTACCTCATGCAACCGAGAAGACGCCTGTCACAGCCGCCGCACGAACATTCAAGGATCCAGCGATATCACTGCCAAGAAGAAAGAGCCGTGTGGTAGCACAGGGAGCATTACAGCGTGTGGTGGTGGTAAGCCTACCCGCGGCGCTCCTTGCTCTGGTGGGAGAAAGACAAAGTCTATAAACACAAGGGACGGCGAGAGCTGTGGAAGTGGCTGCCAGGTCGACACTGCTCCTGAGAAAGACACATGCTGTGCCAATAAGCCGGCACTTCACAACTCCGCTCAAGAAGACGACAGCTGCTGTGCTTCGAAACCAGCCATCGGCTGTTCTGAGAAGGAAGACCCCTGTTGTGCTAAGGAAGCCGACGCCTGTTGCGCCGAGAAGGATGACACCTGCTATACCGAGAAGCAAGATACTTGCTGTGCCGAGAAGGAAGACGCCTGCTGTGCTAAGGAAGCAGACTCCTGCTGTGCCCAGGAAGATACCTGCTGCGCTAAGAAAGAAGACTCCTGCGACGCCGAGAAGGGAGACGCCTGTTGTGCTGAGGAAGAGGACACCTGCTGTACTAGCAAAAAGGGCCCTCTGATTTCTCAGGTGCCAATCGATGATTGCAAGCAGGGCTCCTCATGTTGTGATATCAGCACTTCAAGCAAAGCGAAGGTCCTCTCGCCAGCTGCTTGTGAAGGAAAGCGGCAGCAGACGACAGTCGATACTTGCATTCACCATCTTCAAAAAGCCTTTGCTGAATATTCCAGTTATATCGAGAAAGGCCGGTGCATTTGCCGCAGTGTTCTCGATCGCCTCGACACCTGCTGCGGAGAAGTTGTTCCTAAGAAGGCCATCACTGACGACCAGACTTCCTCGTTCGGAAAGTCCACTGCACTTGCAAGCACCCAACAGCTTCCTGTTCGCCGTCAAGCGCCACGGGCATGCGGGAAAAGTTGTTGCGATAAGACGGCTCCTCGCAATAAGGCCGAGGTGCAGTCCTGTTCGCTCGACAAGGTCGAGATATCAAGTGATTGGTCTAGAAAATCGATAAATGTCAGAACCAAGGAGGTTGATATCGAAGATGCTGCTGCTCGCGAACATGTCCTTCTCAGTGTTGCTGGCATGACGTGCACAGGCTGCAGCAGAAAGGTGTCCAACGTTCTCAAGAACATAGATGGCCTATCCTCGATCAAAGTCACTTTTGTGACTGCTATGGTTGAATTTGATCTCAACACGTCCATCACCAACTTGGAACAATTGATTCCACGCATGGAGAAAGAGACCGGGTTCAAGTTTTCCAGGATCATAAGCAATTTCCAGTCCTTGGACTTGAGAATCGATCGCACTACTGCTACACATGCCAAAGAGGATCTTGAAGCCTTGTCCGAATCCGTTGAACAGCTCGACAACTTTACTTTTCGTGTCAACTACGATCCGACTATCATTGGTGCACGAACACTCCTATCGTCTATCAGGGGAGCAAGTCTTGTTCCACCACAGAATGACGCCAAAACAGCTGATGGCAGGCGGCGTCTTGTCAAGATGGCTTGGTTCACGGCACTGGCTGCGGTATTGACGATTCCTGTTGTCGTATTGGCATGGGCTCACACTCCTGTGCCCTATACAACCCGATCGATCATCTCACTGGTTCTTGCCTCACTCGTTCAGGGTCTCGCAGTCCCCGAATTTTATGCAGGGGCGATGAAATCGCTCATATACAGTCGAGTCCTGGAGATGGATATGCTGATCGTCATCAGTATAACCGCTGCCTACATCTATTCGGTGGTGGCTTTCTCCCTCACGCACGCCGGATTCACCTTGGAAATTGGCGAGGTTTTCGAAACCAGCTCCCTGCTCATCACTTTCGTCCTTCTTGGGAGGCTGGTGGCTGCCCTGGCAAAAGTAAAGGCTGTCTCTGCTGTTTCTCTGCGCTCACTGCAGGCAGAAAAGGCGCTGCTCGTTGAATCTCCGCAAGAAACTATTGAAATTGACTCAAGACTGTTGCAGCTCGGTGACGACTTTGTGGTACCTGCCCATGGCCGTGTCGTGACAGACGGGTATGTGATCCACGGTCAATCTTCCGTCGATGAGTCTATGATCACTGGCGAGAGCGTCCCAATACCAAAAGCAAGCGGTGATAATGTCATAGCAGGTACTGTCAACGGCCCTAGTCCGCTTACCATTCGCTTAACGCGTCTGCCCGGCAAGAATAGCATCACAGATATCGTCAACTTGGTTGAAAACGCTCTGGCGAGCAAGCCACGCATCCAGGATCTTGCCGACAAGGTGGCGGGATACTTCATCCCAGTTGTCATCTCGATCGCTCTTGTTACCTTTGCGATTTGGATGGCGATAGCTGTGAAGGTTCGTGGGAAAGACACAGGCGGAGCCCTCGGTCTTGCCATCACTTACGGGATTGCCGTGTTGGCCGTCTCATGTCCTTGTGCTTTGGGTCTTGCTGTCCCCATGGTTCTGGTCATTGCTGGTGGTGTTGCTGCTAGAAGTGGAGTTATCATCAAGCAAGCCAATGCCATCGAAAAAAGCTACAAGGTCACCGATGTTGTGTTCGATAAAACCGGTACCCTCACCGAGGGGGACCTGGCCGTTATCCACGAGCAGGTTTTTCCGAACCCAGATGCATCTCAAGATGAGGTATTCGCAGTGACCAAAGCACTAACCAAGGACATTCAACATCCAGTGTCTTTGGCGGTTGTCAACCACATAAAGGGAACGAGCACCACCCCGACCGACATCAAACAAGTCGAATCCATTCCCGGCTCAGGGATTCGTGCAAGGTGGAAGGACTCCCTTGTCCAAGCTGGTAACCCGTATTGGTTGAATATTGAGGATCGGCCGGAAATTGCAGCGCTCATCGACAGAGGCATGACCCTTTTTTGTGTCACGCTTGACAACAAATTCTTGGCTGCCTTTGGCCTGAGAAGCAGCCTCCGGGACGAAGCCTGTGCCGTCATTGCAAATCTTCATCGTCGTAACATCAAATGTCATATTGTCAGCGGCGACAACACCAAAATGGTCGAGGACGTTGCGAGCACTCTGGGGATCCCGCTAACCAACACGGCAGCTCGCCGTTCTCCTGGCGACAAACAGGAATATGTTAAAGCTTTGATGTCTTCCGGTAGGGTCGTGCTCTTCTGTGGTGACGGAACGAATGATGCGGTGGCTGTTGCGCAAGCCGATGTGGGTGTCCAGATTGGCACTACTTCAGATGTCACCAGAGCCACAGCCGACGTGGTTTTGTTCAATGGCCTAGAGGGTGTGCCCGCATTACTCGACACCTCCAGACGATGCTTCCACCGAATCATGTTCAACTTTTTCTGGTCTGCGCTCTACAATCTTTTCGCCATCTTGCTCGCAGGAGGGGCCTTTGTCCGCGTCCGCATCCCGCCCGCCTACGCTGGACTCGGGGAAATTGTAAGTGTTTTTCCGGTCATCGCTGTTGCGTTGTCGCTGTTGTGGACGAGGTAGATGGCGGTAAGTGAAGGTTCTCTTCGGCTGGCGCGTGTGAGGAAAGACAGGGCCGAGAAGAGAAGACAGTTGAACTGGCCTGGTAGTCAGGACCAGGGCCGAGTCAGCTTCTTCCAGAATGAGGACATTGATTGGGTTTCTAGAGCCATGGATGCGCGCGCGGACCACTCTCATTAAAACTTTCCACTCCAATATTATATCTATCTACACTCAAGCCCCAAGTGTTTCCCCGGCCACATGCCGCCGGTGATGATGTGCCCCAATCCCTCCACGTAGTGCCATCGTGTACTAGGTACGAGGTATACACATGATACAATTCGTTGATGACGTTGCTGACGGACATGGCCGTCTACTTACTATACTTAGAGGCATGTATGCATTCCCTGTCAGCCTGTCGGTGTTAAATGCCGAGTGCAAACGCCTCGGGCAAGGTGATTTTGAGGTATCTATCAAAGTGCAGCCCGCTCCGCGCTCCGCGTCCCTGACCGTCTCGTGGCTCGCCCGGATTTCCTTGTGACTCGATCGATCGAAGCGTCCGACCCCAAGCAAGTAAGCAATCAAGCAATGTCCTCCTCCTCCTCCTCCTCCTCGGCTGCTCCATCTCTGCTCCGCGGTTCGGCGGTCCTGATCATCTGGGGCCGCGTGCATGGCTACGAGGATCCGAACGTGGAACGCCTGCTGAACGACTGGTGGACATATGAACATTTGCCGGAGCGGCTGGCGCTGCCGGGTTTCCACCGCACGCGACGGTACTACTACAGCTCGTTACCGAGGGAGGAGGGGGTGAAGGACGACGGTGGCGACAAAGTCACGACAGCGAGCGGCTACTCGAACTACCTGGTGCTGTACGAGGTGTCGTCGCTGGCGGCGCTCACGTCGCCCGAGTACATGCACGCACTCAACAACCCGACGCCGGGCACGAAGAAGTACATGCGCGTGCTGTCGGGCATGAGCCGGTCGGCGTGCCGCGTGCTGGCGTCGGTGTCGCGTCACGAGTTCGCGCCCTGTAAGGTCGGCGGCGGCGGCGGGACGCTTGGGCACATCGTCTTTGAAGCCCCGGCGGCGGCGGACTCACGCGCCAAGTTACAGGACTGGCTCTCGGGTGATGGCTGGCGGAGCCTCTGCGCAAAGCACTCCAGCCTGCTCGCCATGCACTTGCTCGAGCACGATGAAGCCGCCACCCGCTCGGGCAGCTCGACCAAGTCGTACGACGAAGTCGACTTCAAAAGGGGTCCCGAAAGCGCCGTGCTCAAGTGGATGGTGCTGCTCGAGTTCACGGACCCTCTTGGAAGCCCCTTTGCGTCCTATGGACCCCAGAGCGACGATATCAAGCAGGGTCTGAGGAAGCATGATGTTGATTTGTCCACGGTGACGCAAGAGCTGTTTGGATTGTTCGTCGTCATGGAGGAGTAAGGTGGGCCCAGCTTGTATTCGTCTGACTTCGGCGAGAGCATAGTCCGTGGAGTTTGAGGGTTCTGCATCAATATACTTGAAGTGAGCGTTGGCACAGAACCGACACAAGAGAATGTAGTGAGCCTCTTGCCCTCTAGAATGGGACTGTGCTGTCTGTTAGAACGAGGGCGTTCCCCTGTAAATGGTTCTGTCGCTGCTTAAAACCGTCGATGTGCACGATGGGCAAGATTTCTCGAGAGCCAGCTGGGTCGATGTACTTTGCAGGAGGATCAGTCTCTCAACTCAGCATTGTGGAAAACGGGGTTTTGGTGCGTAGTTGTAAAAGAGGCTCGCTGGATGAAAACGGAACTGGGTGGTTTTGCGGGATACGTGTTTAGGAAGTTCCTGCACAGTCAGCCAGCAGGGAGAGAAAGCTTCACGAGAGAAGCAAGCAAAGGGTTCAGGTCGAGAACCGGTTCATGCTCTCATCATCACCTCAGCGGGAGGAAGAGACAGTTTGCGCAGTCCTCCTCTCGATCAAGCTGAAATTGGGCGACGTCACTGAAAGGCAGCAAGAAAATTACAGAGAATTGCGGGTGCGAATCTGACTTGACATGGGGATCTAGACTACACCATCCACCATCTGCGCAATCACCCAGTCAAAGATAAGTGAGCAAAAACGCGCCCCCCAAAATACCATGTGGTGTGATCTCATACAGTTCCAATGCATCTCCAGGATAAATAACAAGCTATGCCAATGCCCAATCTCGTCCCAACCGCCTTGAAATCCTCCGACCTGCTGCAAAAGATGGCCAACGTTATCCTCTCCATCAATGCCGGAAGCTCCTCGCTGAAGACGACGCTGTTTGTGGAGGAAGAGAGCGACGAGGGCAAGGTCAAGGGCCTCCGGCGCCTGGGGAGCGCGGAAATATCTTCCATCAATGCCCCTCCTGCGCGCCTAAAATACCTGCGTGGCTCCTACAAAGACACCCGCGAACTCGGCGACATCAACGACCACAATCATGCCTTTGAGCATATCCTGAACGCCTTTCTGGCTGATGCGGAGATCCCAGAGGTCTCTAACAAGGATGACATCGACTACACAGCCCATCGAGTTGTTCAGGGAGGGAACTTTGAGGAAAAGTGCGCAGAGAGACACCCCACTACACCCATACCGAAGTCGCGATAGATTTGGACGCGTGGCTAACTGCTCATCAGCCAGTTCATCACCAAGAAGACCTTGAATAAGATCAACAAGCTCTCAGATCTTGCTCCCCTGTATGTACTCGAGGATCCTGAGCCCTTGACCCTGGCGAACTGCTGATTGCCATTCAGGCACAATGCTTCCGCGGTCGGTCTCATGCTGGCCTGCCACGAACACCTCCCCAATGTCATCAACGTGGCATGTTTCGATTCCGGTTTCCACCAAACCATGCCTGACTACGTCAAGAGCTATGCCATTGATCAGAAGATTGCCAAGGACAAGGGTCTGCGCAAATATGGGTTTCATGGTCTGAGCTACCAATACATCACAAGAACCACCGCTGCGTTTTTGGGGAAGCCGGAATCCGAGACCAACATCATTGCTCTGCATCTGGGGAGTGGTGCTTCCATGTGCGCCATACAGAATGGACGCTCAATAGACACGACCATGGGCTTGACACCCGTGTCAGGTTTACCCGGCGGCTCGCGGAGTGGTGACATCGACCCGAGTCTCGTCTTTCACTACACGTCCGATGCTAGTGCATTGAGCCCAAACAGCACCAAGGATCTTCATATCTCCACTGCTGAAGAGATTCTGAATAAACAATCTGGTTGGAAGGCGTTGACGGGGACGTCAGACTTTGCAAAGATTGCCGATCCGAATGCTCCAAACACCCACAAGCTCGCGTTCAACATCTTTACCGACCGGGTCGTCGGCTTCGTGGGCAACTACTTTGTCAAATTAGGCGGCAAGGTCGACGCCTTGGTCTTTGCCGGTGGCATTGGCGAAAAGAGCCCCTACTTGCGACAAGTCGTGATTGACAAAGTCTCATGCCTCGGCTTCACCATTGACGAAGAGAAGAACAAGAAAGGCCCGGACGGAAAGGACGTGGTGGATATCGGCACCAGTGAAACCATGCGCACGTTGGTCTGCGAAACGGACGAAGACGTGAGCATTTCCAATTTTCCCACGGACGATCTCTGGCTAACAGCATGACAGCATGAAATGGCGCATTCCGTTCTAGGAATGCTCTACAAGAAATAACAAAACAAGACGGACCTAGACGACCTGATGACGAACCCGCGCACGACAATAGACTTTATAATTTGATATACAAATTAGACCGGCCCGTTGCAACGTCCCAGCCTTGTTTTTGCCACGCCAATCTTCTGCTCGGCTCTGTTCTGCCGGTGTTTTGCCATTAGTCACTTCAACTTGCCTTTTCTACCTACCGGATGAGAAAGACACCAGATGCTTGATTGGCCTTTGCACGCCGAGCCTCAGGACTCGGAAATCCCTTTTAGGGACGATACATGCGGGTGCCATGTGCACAGGCCCAATTTGTCATTAGATCCAACCACGATTGGAGTGACCGGACTCTTTCTAACGGTTGCCGAGTGAGTAAGAAGGTTTGATAATGCGCCCAGCCTTTACGACAAATCCCTTGGGATTGGACACCTTGCCCAACTAAGGCATCCCGACCTTGATGAACAATGGCTCGATTGCGGAGAGCTTCTAAGCCATTGTAACACCAACCCTGAGAGGCTGGCACTCGTCAACCGTGCATGGAACAGCATCCATCGCCCCTCAGTGATTACTAGTGCTCGCTCGCCGCCTGCATAGTGGCATCAAGCTGATATGCACAGAACGATGACGACGATGGAGCAATACACCGGAGGATCTGGCGCAGGAGTTTCTCCTCCGTGAAGGAATGCATTGCCAACTTTCAAACTATATAAAGTCATGGTTCTGCCGATTACGAGGTGAGTCTGCCAGGAGTTGAGCATCGTGTTGTTCCATTTGCAATTTCTCAAATACAAGGCTCTCACGGTATCACGCAATCATGCATTTCTCTACATCTGTCTGGCTGTCGCTGCTGCTTCCAGCTTTGGAGGCCACCGCTCAACCTGTTGCGAAGCAAAATTATACATGCACAAGCTTCATGGTCAAAGTGCCGGTCAACAATGCGACTGTGGTGGTCCCTCCGATACCTGAATTCCCAGATCAATATGCTGCCACGGCATTTGCGAATCAAATCACCCTTCGCACGCCCTCTACTGCCGCACCTAACTTGACCACTCTCACAAAGACGTTCAACATCAGTGCAGAATACTGTATTCCAGCCAAGCCAGGTCCGAAGGCATCGACCTTGCATCTCCTTACTCATGGAATCGGATTCAACCGGAGCTACTGGGACTTCTATCTGCCCTCGAAGCCCAATGACGCTCAGTATTCCTACATCAACAGCGCCACAGGTGCGGGATACAGCACTCTCTCTTGGAACCGGCTGGGCATTGTGCCCTCGACCCTTGCCGACCCCTATACGGAGATTCAGAGTCTCGTTGAGCTTGCAGTGCTCGTCAGTCTTACCACGCTCGTCCGAGCAGGGAACATCTCTCAAGTCCCCGTCCCGGACAAAGTCGTCCATGTCGGCCACAGCTACGGCAGCGAGCTGAGCGCGTCGCTCGCCTCAGTCGCCCCCGACCTGACCGATGGCGTGGTGCTGACCGGCTACTCCGCCATTGGCAACTACTCGACCTTTTTTGTGGCCAACACGGCGCTGCACCTCGCCAGCACGAACCAACCTAAACGATTCCCCAACAGCACTTACTCGAATGGATTCCTGACCTGGCCAGACAAATACGGCAACCAATACTCCTTCTTCCAGTACCCGTTCTTCGACCCCGCCGTGCTCGACCAGGCCGAAGCGACAAAGTTCCCCTTCACCTTTGGCGAGTTCCTCACCATGACGGCCCTGCCCCTCGCCGCCCCCAACTTTACGGGCCCCGTGCTCTATCTCGGCTCCGAGGCCGACTTGATCTTTTGCGCCTCAAACTGCACGGGCCTGTTTGGTCCCGACAGCGCCGCGGTGCAGTCGTTCAGCGGCAGCAGCAGCGTCGAGACGTATCTCCAGCCGGATGTGGGTCACGGCCTGAATCTGCACTACAATGCCACGGGCGCGTACAATGTCATTCTCGACTGGGCTGATAGACATGGATTTTGAGAGAACGATCAGGGAATGGCTATACGTGGGGCCACCATGGGGGAAGTCATCCGAATTGTATAATCAAGACGAGTATCAAAGGCGCGGTGGCGGGGGTAAAGCGGTAATGTATGTATGTAGATGTAGATGTAGATCGGTTTGGTAGCTGTCACTCTGACAATCTCAACCCAGTTTCTACTGTCCCTCTCAGAGACGAGTAGCACTAAGTCGGCAAGCCACTTGAAATCCTAGATTTATTTAGACTTTGTTTTGTTTTGTTTTTTCCCTTTCCCTTTCCCAGGCACCCAGGCACCCCAAGTCCTGAAACATGGTGAGGTCGACCGACCGGCGATACATACGGAGTACGAGGCATGTGAACTCGACGCGCCAGTCCCAGCGCCTAACTCAGTCTCCTTCCCAGCGCTGTCCACAACTAATTATCCCACTGCCCCCCTGTCGCATTTCTACGGCCCTTGTCCGGCGGCAAACCAATTCCTCGATAGCTTAACATCTAAGCGCCTTGATGTTTATTTTGTTGACCGTGAAACGCGCGGGCATACTGGTCAGGCCAGGTCAACTCAGGGTCAACTCAAGTCCTGTCGGGTCAGGCCAGGTTCAACAGACGCCCCGAGAGGTCTTGTCAGGCCGGGCAAAGCGGCTCGGGTCATTTTCTTCTCCTCTGCGTGTGCGATGCAATGAAACAAAACCAGTCTACTGTACTGTGATTTACCACTGTTTTCTTCAGGAATTGAGTTTTAACGTCTTCATATTCATATCACATATATCATATTACATAAATATTACATTCTACATCACATGTGCTGTGCTGTGCTGTGCTGTGCTGTGCTTTGCTGTCCGGTGCTGACCTGACCTGACCTGTGCTGTGGTCATTGACATTATATTATATTATATTTATACCATATTCTATGAACCCTTGTCTGAACCTTGAGATTAAATCTTAAGGAATCGCAACTCTGCCGGAAAAAGACATCCCAACAACACGGGTTGACGTTTTCATGAGACAGACTACGATACGCCCGGTGGCCGTGTGATTGATCTATCCTCCTTCCTTCTCGCCGGTTGTCAAGCTGTCAAGCTGTCAAGCTGGCTAGCCAGCAAGAGTCCAAGCAACAGCAAATGTGGTTTCCGACTTATCAATAACATGTATTGAATTGGTTACCGGGTTCGTTCTCGACCACTGGAGTACGAGAAAACCAGACCATGCAGCAGCAGCGATGGGTGGCATCAATCTCTCGAAAAACGAAAGGCGAGACACCACCGCCTCGTGCAATCCACTGGCACGGCCCGATCGTCATGTTCCTCTGCTTCATCGGCGCCATCGCCCTCGCCGTTGGCCACCACATCCTCAGCCTCACACTTGACGGCAGACCCGTGTCCGCCGTCCCCGTGGAGCAACAATGGGTTTCCCGAGCGGCAAACGCGCTGGCGTACCTCGTCAAGGTCCTCCTGGTGCTGGCGACGGGCACCGCGTACGTCCAGTGTGTATGGCACCACGCACGGGGGCGACCGACTCGGCTCAGTCAATTCGATGCCATGTTCGGCGTGCTGGACAATGTCTTTGAATTCCACCATCTGGGTTTTTGGATGAGACGGCCGGTTTTGTTGGTGGTCGTCGTGGTTCTGTGGTACGTCTGTCACCGATATATCACCATTGCCCTTCAGTACCCAGAATCTTCCCCCCCTTTTCTCTTTCAAGATCTGTTATCTCAAACTTCCCAAACTAGCATTCAGAATTCACGTGTACATACCACAGTAGTGCCCACAGCCCTATCACTTATTGACCCTTTGACCCCGTGGCCTGCCAAAAACTGACCAAGTCCCGAGACAGGCTCATACCATTAGTCGCCATCATCACGCCCGGCACCATCTCCGTCGTGTCCGCGTCGACAAGCGAGCCCAAGACCATCTCCGTCCCGCAGCGAGAATACGGCAAGACCTCGTACGGCGCCGCCGTGACCGCGACGACCAATGACACCGTGTTTTACGGTGGTGCACGGTCCTATCTCAAGGGACCGACGCTCACGACGCTAACCGAGACGGAGATCTTGTCAGTATCAGTGGGTGGGGACGCATTTCCCACCAACTCAAACTTGACTTGGTCGATGGGGTTCTTTGGCCCGGCCATATCTTGCTCGGCCGCTGGCGTGGAAGTCACGACGCGGTTGACGGACTTGATCCTCCCGTATCAACAACAAAAGCAAGTGTCGTTGATGTACGACGCCTGGGTCCCGAGACCGGCGACGGCGACATCGCCCAACGACACTCTTCTCGTCGACGGCATGCTCGTTGTTGATCCCGACAGGAACAGCAACCTCCGGATCCTGGACCAGATTTCGCCCGACGCAGCAAGGATCTTTTACAGCATTGCCCCGGACGTGATGAGGCAGGCGACGATGACAGCCCCCATCCATGTCATCGAGTGTGCCCTGTACAACGCGTCGTGGCACCTAGACTTCGACGTCCGCAACACTGGCGAGCAGGTTCTCACACCGACCCTACAATTTGAGAACTGGATGCCTGGGTGGAGCAGCATCCAACCAGCGCTGACGGCCAGCACCGAAACCAACGTGATCCTCGACTATGCAGGTCTCATGGAGACCTTTGGAGCCATCACCAGCGGTCATCTAGACTATCCCAACGATCCTACCTTGCCTTTCGAACAGACTAGCCTAGCGTTGGAAACCAGCCCGGTCTTGTTCAACGACGCGTTTCCCGACCCTTTCAACGACGCTGCCATGGTTCAGCTCCAACGGACCCTGCAGACACTGTTTCAGAACATGACTCTCTCGGCCCGGTATGCTATGCTGCCTCGACAGGATCTCCGGGGCGACGCCTCAACCTGGACGTTTGTCAACGTCAACGCAACATCCACGTTCTCCCGCAACGTGTACTCCTACAATAGCCGAGACCTTGTTGTTGCGTACACGCTTGCGATAGGCGGTAGCGCCATATGTATGCTCGTTGCCATGCTGGCCATCTCTAAAATGGACGCCGTGTATTCGAACAGCTTCTCCACAGTCGTCCGCGTCAGCCGGAATCAACCCCGTCTCGACACCGTGATTCGCGATGACCACGACCGCAGCGGAGCGCAGCCCTTGCCAAAAAGAGTCGCTGATGCGTATATGTGGATCGGTCGCGAGGATATCGTGGGCCGGGGAATTGGGCGAGGCCGCGTCGCGACGGCGGACACGTGGGACTCTGAGAGGGAGGAGAGCCGCTCGTGGTGGGGGAAACGACGGGCGATGGATCTGGAGAAGTCGGGCCCGACTACAGGGCCGTCCAGTGTCGTCAGACCGCTGCCAGGTGGCATCGTGGCCAATTCGAAGACGAGTGGCTCGCTCGGTGGTTGGATATAGGCTCGACTGTTGGATATAGGCGCGACTGAGAAATGGCGATTGACCGTACCGCGACAGAACCCGTACAGAACGAGGTTCTAGCCAGCGACCGACCTCTGCTCCTGGCAAGCTGGCTCGATGGAGTCAGCAAATCGACTCTTGGGCTTCTCACGATATCTCCTTTTGATCCCGTCGTGCTTAAGACGTCGCATGGTGAAAAGAAGGCACAAAAGCCCTGCCCTCCAAATTCCATCAGTCCCAGTTCATAACCAGGTGGTTCTCGTTTGTCTGGCGTACTCCAGCATTACAGACAACGTGGCGACTGAGAAGGCTGCCCAGCTCCTCCGAACCTGGGACAAAGCCCCCTGACGAGCTTGTCCCCGCGTCTCCGGCAGGTAAAATACCTTCTTCGTCGTCATGCAGAGACCACCACCATTGGCTGCCACTCAGCATTCCGTCCTCGTCGTCAAATTCCTCCTCGGTCTGTTGCGTGGTTATGCCACGGTCAATGTCCTCAACAGTCATCCGAGCGATCCAGCCCCATTTGCGCCAGAACCACCGCCTGACTTCCCAACTCCGCTTGTTCCAAGCCACGCCGTCTCGCATACTCCTTCCGTAGTCTCCGTTGGCGCGCTCGCGTCCCCAACAGACCAAGCCGTCGTGAATCAAGTCAAGGAAGAGGCTCATATGATCAAGTTTCTTGACACTCGAGAGGTAGATGGCCATACTCCGAAAGTGTGGGAAGGGGATGCAATCCAGGTACGATGGATGAGGAATGATGAGCTGGTGGGCCGTGGGTCGGAGATCAACTGGGATAGTGTGGATATTGGCGTTGGAACTGGTTGAGAACGGAGAAGGATGGTCGTTGACATAGGAGACGATTGAAATGCCTAGGCTTTGAGCGATCGACATTGTTGCTGCGAAACACGACTCTCCAACCAGCTTCAGATTGTTCTTATAGGGTGATGGGAGGGATGGCCGCGTTCGTGAGATGCTCCGAGACGCTGAAGAGGAAGAACGTGGCGCGACCTGAGGGGAGCACTGGAGTGGCGACGCCTGTCGCAAAGGAGACAATGAAGGAGACAGGCTACTCAGCGGGCTCGTCCCTGAAACGACACCCGGTGGAAGCGTATATGTCTTGGAGTCGATATCGTCAGGGATGGGCCATAAGTGTCGCATATCAAGAGCATCCGGGATTGGCGGTACATAGTAATACACAGCAACTCTCAATGGAAGAACCGGCTCTGGCAGGGGTGTCGTATTGCTTGCCGCCTTGTGGATATCTGTTTCTGTCAATATCTCGTCATGAAGTGGCTCTCCCAAGGCAATAGACGATTCTCTGCCAGTCTCCAATGATTCCGTCAAAGGCACCTGGCCCTCGACTGCGGAAAGCTGCGGCGCATGTTCCCTCGCCCGCTTTGCCAACTCCTGCGTGACCTTCTCTCGGATCTCTTCGTCTCGACGATGCTTCTGCTTTTCGCGCCAGACGCGCTGCGATCGTCGGTTTTGCTCTCTCCTTGCCTCAGTCAGTTTTCGCTTGTACCTCTCTGAGAGCTTGGATTCCGAGCCCGCGGCAGCGGAGGATGAGCTCGACATATCCTTGTGTTCAGCTACTTTGCGATTTCCTCACGATGAGCGCGAGACGGCCTCGGGCCCTCGAGATTCGCACAATGCTCGTAAGTCCCGCCTGTGGAGAAGTGGCTGGCTGCACTAGATGACAACAGGCATAGAGGATCGAGTCCTATGTTCAACCACAGGCCTATGATGATGCAAGAAGTTCACATGAGGGCCAAGGACCGGGTGTGCTGTTATTGATGGTGAGCAGTCAGTGAGTAGTAGGCTTGACGGAGTCCAAGGTGGTAGTGAGATGAACCTATCATTATCTGTCTCCGAGTACGAATAGGCAGGGTACAGGTAAGACGCACCGCCAAACAGAGCAGACTTCCGCCTGGGCCTTTAGCCTCGGTGGCCTAGTGAGCCCTAGCTAGGTAATAATAGGCTACCACGCCACCAACACTACCTACTCGCTAACTAGGTACAAAGCAAGCTTACATGCTGGCATGCTTAGGTCAGATGGTGTTCGGCACCCGTACATCTCGTGCTTTACTCACATACACATCTCTACCCAGAGCCTCATTGCGGATTGCGGTACAACTTCAGTAACAACTACAAGGCTTCTCTTCGTCCATTCCACTCGCCATGTCAATCCTAAGCATCCAGCGAAATCCGGGCGGTTGACTTGACTGCACTTCTACCACTCTACAGCGCTCGTCTTCTTCTCATGACGACCACTACTGCTTCGAACCCGCTGCCGTCTAGTGTGCGTGCTGCATACATTGGACAACCTTTATTGCGATACCCACTGGTGCCATGTCAGATGGCCCTCATGAATCGCTCACAGCGTACACTAAAGAGCGTGTGAGATCAATATATCAGGACGGGCGGAAATGGAAAAACAGCAACGCTATCGGTCAACCAAGAACCTTCGAGGCGCGTTCGATAGAACACGATACAACAAGCGAGCTGTTTTACATCTTTTCGGCGGCTCAGCAAAAGGAACGATTACAAGAAATGGGCAGATCTTATTTCCGCGCCGTCCAGGAATCCCAGGATCATATCGCTCGGCTAGATGACAAGATTGCATCCCTGATGTCTTGCTGCTACGATGGCGTCCTGGACGAGGACTATATGGTCTCGCAGACTTGCGCATTATTATCTCGCGTGCCTGGCACTCCTCCTCTGCACCGGGCATTGAGTTCAATGTTTTCAGGCCACAAGTTTAATTGGGGTTACTTCGAAGGTGTCCACCACAGTCATGTTCTGTTGAATGAAAATACCTGGGAAAAGCTCCTCGTAACTAAATGGATTGACTCAAACACCGTGAGAATTGCTTTGACCATTGTCCAAGTGCGTGATGGGACGAGTAGCAACATGGTGGATCATTTTCGACAGTACCTCAACACCCTAGCTGAGATCTCAGAGGCGACGTTCTCTTTGCTCTGCCGCTGCAACGATGTGGTGGAACAACAGTCCTGGTTGCTGGCTTCAAGTTTTCTCTGGACGTGCTGGTATCGTGGACTCATGCTTCATCTCCACAGTGCTCTCCATTTCCATCTTCGATTCGGCTACAACGTCGGGGCTTTGAACCGACTTGACATGAGGCAGCCGTTGCCGCAGATGGGCGTACTCTCATCACCTTCAGAACCGTCAGCATACTTGTGCCCCTGGGCGTTCGAGCTGTTACGATCCGATAGAGCATCTGTGAGTCAAGATTTCCGTCGTTTCCATCAGCGGTTTTCGACGCTCCACTCCCAGAAGAAAGCTCGGTGCATAGGTGGTCCATGCCGCCCCTGTAACGGACAAGGTCCAACACATTGCCAACGCTTTACGGGTCTGAAGATCGTTGACCAGTCTGCTCACGACGGATCCTGCGATGGTCAATGTCAGAGTTTATTCTGGGACGAGGCGAGCTACCGCAGTGTCGCCGGAGCCAGAGCAGTGTCAATTGTTGATACGAATGAAGAGTTTATTCGATACTGCCAGGCTTCTCGCAAGACGATAGCTGTGTCGCATGTGTGGGCTCATGGTGCGGGTGGTCGACCGCACACCGGCTTCAACGCCTGTCTACATCAGCGGCTCGTTCGAATTGCTCGAGAAAACGACTGCGACTCCTACTGGATGGACACGCCTTGTATACCGGAAGATCATCAACTTCGAGCTGAAGCGATCTCGTATATCAACGAAGTCTTCAACACAAGCAGCATCACGCTGGTGTGGGACCGGGATCTCATGTCGATCGACATATCTCGTCCGTCGATGGAGGTCCAAGAGGCGATCCTGTGCACTCTCTTGGTCTGTGACTGGACCTTGAGGTCTTGGACTCTGCTAGAGTCGATGCGTGCCCGCCACAACATTCATCTCTTGTGCAAAGACAACAAGACTGTCGCGCTGAGAGACTGTCTTCTCAATGTCCATCACGCCGGTGCCATCGACATTGCGACATTATTGCTCACCAGCCAACAACTTCTGCCCGCGATACAATACGACGGTGAAGAACCCGATGACGAACTACAGAGACAAATGAAGGGTTACGTCCCTGTCGAGGAAGCTCTGCACCTGCTGGCTCGTCGACACGCGTCTAGACCAGGAGACAGCGTCGTCATCTTGAGCCTGCTCATTGACGATAAACCCGTGTATACTGCAGAGGCATTCTGGAAGTCAAAGATCGGCCAGTCCTTGTACTCGGGCGTGCTATTTTCATCCCAGCCCAGGCTCCAATGTAAGGGGTTTGGATGGGCACCTTCTCAGCCAGAATTACCCCTAGCTGTTTTGAGTGGTGATTCTCCACACTCTCAAGAGTACCTGTTTGACGGTTCACAGTCGTGGCCAGCGATAATTACCCCAGACGGTCTCGACGCGACGTTTGCCACGTTCGAAATACCTGAACTCGAGCAAGAATCGTCGTCGTCGTCGTCCCCGCTTCAGCATGTCGTCACCAACCTAGCCCAGAAGTTTCCCTGGCCGGGCTCACAACGTCGTCAGCCCAGCCAAATACAAATCCTACGTGACCACTTCCATCTGGAGAGGTATAAGCACTCGCTACTTCTTCTTCCCGTCGTTGCGAACTCGTCACGCAGTGCCCCATTCAACGCGTACCGCGGCCGGTCGAATGGCCTGCTATTTGCCGTGGTGGGTTCCCATGATGAGGATCGGCGGACGTGGCACTGGCTCGGGACTTTTGAATGGGACCTGACTTGTCCGCCTCTGCCAAAGAAGAGGAAGGAACGGGAGAAAGTGTTCATTGTCTAGCCATTCCTTCTCTTGGACACAACAACGTCTAGTGAGCGCCCATCTGTGATCGGGGAAAGACAAGCCAACGTCTTTACGTGGTGAGTTGTTCAAGAGAGGATTGCCGTTGCGTTGGTCTGTGATCGCCCCGGCCATGCGCCACCTCGTATAAAGGCTCTTGGCCCGTACCCGTTGACGTCTCGAAAAGACACCCAAGCCTCGAACCCTGAAGAAAGGCACTTGGAAGCGAGACGCAAGTCTGATTGGTGCCGGCCCCCGCCAGCCTTTGCGAGGCTGAATCGCTGCCACGGCGAGCACGAATAAGCCAGTCCATAAGCCACCAGCCAGACCAAGACTAACCCTTCCTTCTACTTGTAACTTGTCTGTTGTCTATATAAGATACTAGAAGAGTATGTGAATATAGATGTACCACCAACCGTTCTCGAAGCTCATACTCATGCCCATATTCATATTCATACTCTATTCATTCTCGTACTATTTTTCCTCCACCATCCGTCTCCTCAGGACTAACCACGTGCCCACGTCTCCACATCTCCACGATCCACAGCTATAGAGGGCGGACGATAAACAGTAAACAGTACAAAAGATGTCCCCGTCATCGACATTCACGCCCGTCCAACGGGTCTTTGCCCAAGTCCACTCCGCGACGGGCCTGAAATTTCCCGAGACGGTCGCGGCGTTGCTCGCACTGGGCGTCACGCGGTACCATGTCGATTATATCGCGGGGACGACGACGACGTATGCACCGACATCCGCACCCAAGAGGGCGACCGGGTCGAGCCAACTCGAGAATGCAATTGCGAATGCAGTTGTGATCGAGTCAGAAGTCATCCCCACACCCACACCCCTCCATACCACCCCATCCATGACAGTGGCGTGGAACGCCCCCGCCCTCTCCCTCGCTATAGCGCGCATCCAAGCCAACAAAACGACCTACATGGAATTTTCGCGCGAATGCAGCGCCGCCGGCGTCGTGGGGTACATGGCGTTTTTGGCCGGGAAGCGGGTCCTGTACTACGGCTGCGACGGGGACGTGCATGTTGAGTGGTTTCCTAGCGTGGGCGCCGCAATGCCTAGAAAAGAGTGAGGAGGAGAAGAGAAGGAGGGGAGACAAGCGTATCTTATTTCTACCGAAGAGGCTGTTTGTAATATGGATAGTGACGGTGGTGGAGGAGGTGGTGGTGGTGACCAGGTTGACAATCATTGGCATGACTGTTAATGAGATTGTTCGCTGCTTTGTCTACTTTGTCTACTTCGACCATCCAGAACCAATCTCCACTCTGAAGATATCTATACTCTCTTAATTACTTGATTAGCTCATTTCTTTCATTTACATCCTATTTACATCTTCGTACATCCGACCCATCCACGAATGACGAGACACCCCTTTTCTCTCAGCCTTACGGGAGAGCACACTCTCACGGACTGGTGCGGCTCAGGCCAAGACACTCGGCCATACCGTAAAAGATGTCGATGCTGTTAAAGACACCAGAGAACAGCTCCGTGCAAGGCCCGCGTGTGAAGACGGGCACGTCGGTCAGAGAGTGCACACCTTGGTCCGCCTATAGCCAAAGATTAGTAAGAAATCGTGCCAAAGCAAAATAAATCAAGACTTACAGAAACTGGGAGTGAGCCGTTGATGATGAACCCAGTAACAGCATCAACATAGTTGACGTAAAAGTCCTCGTCAGAGAAACCAGTGATGTTGATGGCCGGCACGCGAGGTCCGTTCTTGTTGACCCGGTAGTCCTCTCGGTGGTCAGGGAAAGCAGCCAGCCCAGAGTACAGCGTGTAGCGAGGATCCCAGTTGGCCGGGAAGTTGACGCCAGGGCCGTAAACCAAATTCTGGTCGCTGCCGATAGGAGCAGAGCGGTTGGCGAGAACATACTGACTGAGCCCAGAGTTCTGGTAGGTGCCGATAGCGTCACGCTTGTCACGGGGGGCTTTTTGCGAGTTGAGGAATTTTGTGTCGACAGAGCCCATAACGTCGAAGCCATGGCCGTGATCAGCGGTCACGAGGATGAGCGTGTTTTCCAGCTCGCCCACTTCCTCAAGCCAGGCAATCGTGGCCTTGATCGTATCGTCCATTTCGAGGAGCTCACCTAGGGCACGGTCATAGTCGAGCACGTGCATCATCTTGTCGATACTGGCAGCTTCAGACATAAGGAAGAAACCCTCATCTCCGTGGCGGGTCTGGAGAACTTCGAGAGCCTTGAGAGTCATTTCCTTGAGACCTGGTTGATCGGTGGCAGCTGCTTTGGAACCATCAGGGGCAGTGCTAGACTTGTTCAGGTTCTGTGGGTAAACATTTCGATCGAGCCACTTGGCCATGTTGTTGACCGAGAAAATACCAAGATGCTTGCTCGAGTTACCAGACGCCTGGAGAGCAGTGTTGTTCAAAACGACGGTATAGTTCTGCTTGGCAAACTCCTGGTAGTAGTCCTTACCCTGGAAGGAGCCCTTTCCTGGATAGAACTGTTCGGCACCACCGCCAAAGAGCACATCAGGGCCGGTCCAGTTGGTCCAGGTATAGTTGGTGATGCCTCGGAGGAAAGAGTCAACGACGGCTCCGTATTGGCCTCGATCCCGTGTATGGGCGGTCAGTGCGGCAGGGGTCGCGTCGGCGATAAAAGCGGTAGAGACAATGCCAACACCGCCACCTCTGAGCCGGTGGAAGATCTCAGCGATACTCTCAATCTTTGGGTCGTCGAATTTGTTCGGGGAGGAGTCAGCATAGACGCCCAAAGCATTGACGGTAGATTTGTGGCCAGAGTAGAGAGCAGTCGCAGAGTTGGCGCTATCCGTAATGAAGCTGTCGATCGAGTGCGTCATCTGGTGACCCAGCATCGGAAACTGGTCCATGGCCATCTTGGTCTGGTACTTTCCGTTGATGGATTGGTGACCAATCAGGCGCGCAGCTGCATCTTCGATTTAGCATCAAATCTATACCAAAAAGACATTTGTCCTCACCAGTGATCATGTTCGTGGTCATGCCGTCTCCGATGAACATGACAACGTTCTTTGCCCGCTGTTGGGGAGAAATGTCCCGGACGGTCCAGTTGGCGATCGTCGTCTGTGAGCCATTCCGATACTTTAGGGTCGCAATATACTGCCCTGGCTCATACAGGGCAACATTTCGCCATGCCTTGGACGCAACCTTGACCTGCGACGGAGTCTTGGCCACCTGAGCAAACAGATCTTCGTACCAGGTGAAGTTCCAGGTCTCAAGCTTTGGTTCCGAGAGGCTGAAGAACTCTGAGATTGGTCGAGCAGCCCCGCCCTCCCGTTCGATTGTCAAAGTGAACTGAGCGGATGCATTAGCCAGTGCCAATGATAGTGATGCCTGTCCCACAAACCCAAACGAAGCATTCTTTAGACAAGGGTAACTCACATTAGGATCAGGGGTGGTGTAGCCACGAATAGCCTCGCTTCCATTCAAGGGAGCGTGGACCTCAGCTCGGATATCGAATCGTTGGCCTGGGAGGAAGTCGGCTTGGTCAGGTGGAATGATACAGCCCAAAGTTGGACATGTTCCGAGCCTCTGGAAGGTTTGAGCTGCACAGTGGCTGCAGAAGGTGGCAACTGCCAAGACACTCTCTAAACCGAGCTGGAATCTCATCTTTGATACCTGGAAGATGTCCTGGACCAAATGGTTGGGGAAAGCTCTTGAGAGGGTTCAGAATTTCGACCCAGCTGTAGGAGCTTGCACCTTTTGTACCTTTCAGTCTAGTCTAAAGCTCCTCCCAGCCTTCAACGGAAAGCAAGCTCTATTGCGTGCGTTACATAGCCCGCAAGAACTCAGAGAATCCATTGCCGTGCAGAGCTTCTGTCTCGTGGGATCCGTTGGTTTCGCACTGGCCGCATGGTATAGTGTAACTTGCTTCGATTTCAACTGCTTTGGGTAGGCGGAATCGATGCCAAGACAACGGGAGGGATGCCAAGCCACGGAAAGAGAGAAGGAGAAGATATTAACCACTGAAACTCCCCACGTGTTTGGTTGCTCGGCGGGCCAAGAAAAAGCTTTGCTGAGGCCTAAGGTTGCACACGAAGGGTGCCAAGATCAAGCGCTCCAGGACATCCCCGTTCTGTCCGCTATTTAGTGAATGCGTGGTTAGACGTACCTTTGCCATTGGAGAGCGTGCTGGTCAACGTCGCAGCAAACTCGTCGCCAAGAGCGGTAGCGGAGGGTCAGGTCCATTGAAGCTGATGATACATGGAAGAAGGAAAGTACAGGAACGGGGTGCCCGGACCTGGACATCTCGTGGTGAAAAGGTCAAAGCGGAGCTGCAGAAAAGGAAGTTCCAGCTCCGAAGGCATTTGTCTGTGAAGGCACTCATAGCCAGGTCCAAGCTAGAGGAACAAGGGTTGCAATCTGGGAGTAGTCAACTCTGAGCGATGCTCGTCTGGTACCTCGAAGCCCACAGATATCCTCCCAGGAACATCAATAGCACAAACCTTTTCAAGTAGTGTCGCGTTCTCAACATAGCTCTCCACCACGTGGCATAGCTCGTTTTTCGGTCGACAATGCGATCGATTATGCAAGTTCTCGGGTAAAGGCTCGAAACGAGCAAAAGCGAGATGCCAGTTTCTCGAAAGGTCGGGCCGGTTGCCAGCTATACACAAGAGCACCTTCCTGGCATGCGACCCAAAGTATGCAGGAAGCTGTACTTACATACTCGCACGGTGATGGCAGATCTTTCTACTGGGTTGTAGCGAACAGACCGAGCTTTTGAATGTTGGCAGGACCGGCGGTGTTTGAAAGCGACCCACACATGTATCCGGCTCGACGGGTCAGACTGATATCTGGGTTCCTGGTGCCATCATCCCGCAATACCAGCACGTCACACAAGCGACCCTTGGCTCCCGTATTCAATGTTCACCAACAAATAGCATTGGACAGGGGGTATCTTCGATCTGCAAGGCTGGCCAAGTCTGCTTCGAGAAGCAAGCCAGAATTCTGCCCTTCAGAAGTTTGTGCCACGTTTGCGGGAAGGGGTGCATATGAAATCGTCGGACACGCACACGGCACAACCAGAAATCTGGGCGTTCATATTGTACACCCACGTCGACACCCTCTGGATTGTCTATCTCGAGAGTGCTGACATGCTTGTCACGTTACTCCACTGCCCACGTTTTGCCCAGGTGGTTTTCCTTTTGCCACCAATCTTGCCTGATGAGGAAGTTGACTACATCCCGGGTCATGAAGCACCACAAAGCGTGTCGATAGTCTTGAGCTGGTATCTGAGATCACGGTCTCTTCCCTCCAACACCAGCGATTGGAGATAAAAAGTCCGTGGTAGCAAAGTCCGATGGAAAGGCCATGAAGCGAGCGGTGACTAAGATTGGCTTCGGAGCTGATGGTGCAGCGAGGCGAAAAGAGATATGGGATGCTAGGAGTGCGGAGTACTGAGGGCTGGTTCGTCTCCTATTGGTGGCAGTTACCTAATTAGCGGGATTCTGTAGGAACAGGGCCAAACCTCAGATGCGAGCAGTCAGATCCAAGCGAAGAATATTTCGTTCCATGCTTCAGCTTAGTTGAGTAAGACGGGCAATGCGCTGCAAGTGCCGTGGACAAGATTAGATAGCCTAGGTCAGATACGAGGAGGATCAACCGTATGGGTACGAGCAGACAAGGCCAGAAGCCAGAGAAGAATTGTGTTTGTGAGGTGAGACAGCGAAGTGGTGGCCAATAAAGTTCGCATTCAGTGAGTGAGTTGAGGTTATACGAACACGAGAAAAGGGGAGCCTGCACCGACTGCCGACCCCTCTCTCCCACCCTTTGCCTGCGCCCCTCTCTCACTTGTACTCAGAATTTCTGCAATCGATTCTTTTTCAACCACATGTCATGTTCTGGATGTTCCCGAGAGTCGACAAACCTGTACCTGGACCCATTTAGCCCCAAACAGCAACACCACGCCGATCCTGTCCACGGTCGTCCACATACACCATGGCCAACACTCCCAATTCGTCTGACTCTCATGCCTAGGGCCTGGACCACCGGACCATCCAGCCGCAATTGGCACTTGCTCCTTCGATCGTCCTGGCAATGGCATGCAGCATTCAGATGCTTGTTTCTTCGCGCTACTCTCTGTTTGTTTCAAACCTTTTGTTGTGGATGGCGACAGAGGCGGCGTCGAATGCGCCATGGCTCCAATCCGACATAGCTTGTATGGCATGCTTTGCATTCTGAATGGCGCACATTCCTGGAGCTGACTTCAAAAAGCGCGCCACTTGCCTGCAGCATGCACCCTCCTCTAACACTAGTCAGAGCGACTGAACGGGAGCTGCCAGTGAGCCGAGAAACATGGCGGATCCCAGCCCTGCTGAGCGCAGCTCACTGTTGTCCGGCCCTAGAAAGAACAAATGGCTCGACGAGTCCGACTTTTCTGCTCCTCAAGCTCTTGTTACTGTTGTCCGCCGTCGTTTCTTGGGTTGGTTTATAATGTTGCTCACGTCGTTCATTTTCTTTGCGTGCCTGGCGTGGTCTCTGGCCACTCCACAGCATAAGCGTCAAGCAAGCGGTCCCGTCATTGGCACAAACTTTCAAGACCCTTCGGTGGTTCGATTGGACGATGGAAGCTATATTGCCTATGCTGGAGTCAATGGGAATCCTGCCGGGGTTAATGTCTTGATCGCTACCTCTCCAGACTTCTCTAGCTGGACCGTTCATTCAGGTTACGATGCCTTGCCAAATCTCCCTTCATGGGCAGCCTCGCCGCCGCATGTCTGGGCTCCTGACGTGACTCAGTTGGTGAGGATGTGATCTGCTGCTGTGGGGGATCAAAGCCTTCTGACACGCGCTTACAGGACAATGGGAACTTTGTGCTCTACTATTCAGTAACAATGGCCGAGTCTCCGGCAAAGCACTGTGTTGCAGCAGCAACAGCTCCAAACCCAGAAGGACCGTTCACGCCTGTCCAGACGCCACTATTCTGTGATCTGACAGCCGGCGGGGCCATCGACGCTGACGGTTTCAACGACCCTACGACTCACCGGCAATATGTCATCTATAAGGTGGACGGCAACTCGATCGGCAACGGTGGCGCGTGTTCAAACTCTGTCAATCCAATCGCGCCCACACCTCTGAATCTACAAGAGGTCAACCCGGATGACGGGTATACTTTCATTGGTGGCGCCACCACTGTTTTACTGAACGATCCTGATGATGGGCCTAATATCGAAGCGCCCTCGTTGACCTATGATGCTTCGTCCGGGACCTATATTCTCCTGTACAGCTCCAGATGTTTCACGACTGCTCCCTACAACATCAGATACGCGACCAGCAACAGTGTCTACGGGCCTTACACAAAGCAGTCAAACCCATTCCTGGCGACTGGAGGCACGGCCGCGAACGTCTACATCCCTGGGGGCATTGACATCACCAAGGATGGCAAACTGGCCGTCTTCCACGGTGACGTGAATATGGGATGGTTCGCCGGCGACGGGACAGCACGTGTGCGAGCCATGTACGCCGTTGAGCTTTCGATCGGAAACGGTGTCGTCAGTCCGGGCACACTATACTGAGGAAGCACTATCCAATTCGTATTTGACTTATCAGTCCGCTGGCTGTGGTTCAGAGATCCAAAGATTGTTACGACATGAACGAGGTCATTCTGGCAACATTTGTACAACAGACATTCGCTTCGGAGCTTGATTTTTGAGCGCTTTATATAGAATTTCCTTTTACTTGATTCTTGAAGACGCACGCACACAGACGCGCACTCACATGGACACGGACACACATGGAGAGGGGGGATAGTTATGACGCTCGCTAGGAAGGATTCGTCAGAAAACGGGCTTGAGGTGAGTTGAGTTGAGCTGAGTTTGGGGGCCGAGCCAAGCAGAGCAACAAAAGGAGGCACAGCCTGGTCCTAGCTGTAGTTTCTACTGGGATTTTTAACACACGAAATATGGACCTAACGAGTACGGAGTACTTATCATGCATGATAACGAGACTCTTTTTCCCTTTTCCCTTCGCCCCTGTCCCGCCTTCATTCCCCGGTCCAGTCTTCCCTAGCCTTCTTCACTCGCAGGCAGAAGCGGATATGGAAATGGCGACTCACCGTACCATACTGCAACGTTAATGCTGGTGCTGGTGCCGGCCAACTGTACCGACCACCGTCCCATCCGCCAACCCAACAACGTCAAAAAGCCTACGTGCCTAAATAGGTCTTGTCTTCTACGAGGTGCTTCCCTTCTACATACATACATACCTTCTGAAGATACCCTTGTGTACCTTCCTTACCTTGGTGAGTTTTACGACGACACCACTCACTACTGACTGTAACCAGCCAACACAAGCTCCTACCTGCGTGGGCCACTACGATGTGAATACCATCCTTAGAGTCGACCATGTTGGCCACATACCTAGTAAAGGTGCCTCCATCGTCTGAGGTCATGACACGAGTGGTGTTCAGTGCTCTTCAGCGAAAACTTGCAAGACCACGCTCAAGCCGCCGGGTATACGCAGTACCAAATCCAAAAAGGACAGATTGATAAAAGGTATACTTTGACTGTGACTTTTTGTGCCCTCACTCTCGAAGAATGCACGGCAGCCTCACCCGCCACGTATCGTTAGTACTTTTCCCCATATACTGTACAACTTGTCCGCAGTTGACGACTCCGTACCACACACACCTCTCCTAAGCTTCACCTTGCTCCATCACCAGATCACGAATAGCCCACCTCCATCCTCCTCTTCCGTCGGGTCCTTCTTCCTCTTCCTCTTCCAATCCCTTTCTTAGCCACTTTTCCACTTTCCGCCGCCATCTCTCCTCTTCGCTTCTCTGTCGTCTCACAAACTCAGGACCCACGTCAAACTCCTCGCTGACACCAATTCCCCATTCGTCACCGCTGCTGTGGCCGGCTTCTCCGTCACCGAACGAATCCCTGGAATGCTCGATGTTTGACATGTTTTGGAGTGTGCCGCTTCGACTCCGTATCTCATCCTCTTCTTTCAGGTCTTCCAGTCCGGCGAAGACATCTTCTTCCTCTTCGACCTGCACACTACCGCCTCGAAGACTCGACACGCTTCCGTCTGGATTCTCGGCGATCTTGAGCCACCGCATTTGTGATGGGTCAAACACCATGCCTCCCACAACTTGGACGCCCGTGACACCAGACCCCACATTTGAGATCAGGGCAACTTGGGCTTTCGTACTTGGGCTTCCGCGACCTTGAATATTAGGGCTGCCGCCCCGAGGGTGGAAGTCTGGGACGTCGAAAGGCGCCAGGTCATTTTCGTTACCTTCCCACCTAAACAACAACGGGTTATAGTTCATGCCTTTCTCTGTCTTTGCTCGATTCAGGTCACTGCCCATGGGCTTGATGAGGTGTGGCTTCAGTTGGACCTTTTCGCCTCTCTTCTTCCTCAAACTTCCTTGATTGCTAGAACGGATGGTTGATGTGTTTGACTTCCAATTCGTCGATATTGGTTGCAATGGTTCACCTCGCATATTTTGAAAAGTGTTGGAGATCTGGCGCTGTTCGCGGGCATTGCGCGAAGCGGCCGTATCGCGGGCGAAGCGAGGAACATTGGTCGTATTGAGCGCGGTAGTTGGAAAATCACTCCTAGGTGCAGGTGAGAGCGGTGTTGCAGGCACCGGCGTGTCACTGCCGCGTCTGGTGCTGGTGAGGGAGGATGTAGAGGGGTTGAGATGTGACAATCCCAGTTTGCTTCGAAGGCTTCGCGGAGCACCACGGCCCACGGGCGCCTTTGTAAATTTTGATTCAATGGTAGCCGAGGTAGGTAGATCATCAAAGATTTCCAATTCCGTCCCATCACCATAATTGCGACGCCTTGTAGGTTTGGTGATTGATTTCTTTGCCTGTGCGGCCAACTCGACAGGCGTGAGATTGCTTCGCCCACGCGCAGAGTCTAAACCTCGGCCAGGCGTCTCGGGTCTGCCGAGTCCAGCTAGTCGTGACAAAGACCTTTGAGCAGCAGTCATACTGTCGCCAGAGCCATCGGACCCTTGGCCACGGTAATGGCTTTTGATACTAACATGCTGAGACTGTCCGGCGGATGCTCCTGCAGGGAGAAAAGGTACCGCGCCTTTCCTAGATTCTCCAGCACGAGACTCTGCTCGATCCGTGGGAGTCTTGGGACGTGATGCTATGTTCAAACGACTTCCGGTTTCCTGTCTTGAAGGAGGCCTGACGTAGGGTGAAGACTTGGTCGGCGACGTTAAGCCTCGCATAACAGGCATAGACCTTTTTGCACGGAGGAGCTGTGCGTTTGTGGTTGTCGGCGGTTCGTAGCGCAGGTCAGGACGAGATTCCGTTCCGCGGAGAAGCCGTCGACTTGGAGTGGAAGGCGTAGAAGGCGGAGCAGGGGCAGGTATGGATGAAACAGATGAATGGCTTGCATGATTTCCAAGTCGTGAATTTGCCCGTTGATATGATGATATCGCGACGCCAGTTTCCGAGACAGGTTCCAAATTGGACCGAGCACGTTCATGTCTGTCGTGAGTTGGTTGAAATCTAGGGAGCCGCGAGATGGTTCCCTGACTTTTAGTACTGGTGAAATTGAGCGTGGTTGTCGTCCTCTTAGAAGGACTGGCAGGCCGCGCACTCTTGTGCTTGACATTGCGATTTAGTGTCAACTTTGCCGCGTCAAAAACCTCTCCGTCTCCAATTTCGAGACCTGAGAAGAAGTCGTCCTTTGCGGCAGTCGTCTTGGAATTGTCTTTGTGGTCTGGGACACTTCGAGGCGGCTCATGTGGATGGTCATGCTGGCGCCGTTTGAGCTTGTCCTCGAATTGGATGGGGCCGTCGGGCAAAACGAGACCCTCAAGGCCCTCATCTTCGCTTTCTGCGGTGAAGGCACTTGAGACACTGGGGCTCAGAGCTGACGCAGACGAGCTACGTGCTGATCGGCCTCCTCTTCTGGTGCCAGCGTTCCTTGTACCCAAGCTCCCCTCAGCCCATTCCAGGTCGAAATCATCACTCTGTTGTGGGGTTGATGGGGGAGGTTTCCTCGTTGACAGGCGCAGCTGCCCATCAGAGGGCAATTCGAGGTCGTCTTCGATGTTTTCGGTTTCTGGCTTCACTGGTGTAGGAGGCTGCCGGAAGAGAAGAGGCTTCTGCGGTGATCTATGCTTTGCGACCTTGATGGTGGGAACATCCCCAAAACCAGCATCCTCGTCCGTGTCTCGAAAGGCGTCCAGAGTGATAGGCATTGCTGCAGAGCGAGACTTTGGTGATCGGATGGTTTGATCAAATATGTCTTTCGCTTCCGGGGTTTTAGGTGAAGTTCTAAAAGCCGCACTAATCTGTCGTAGACTCTCGGACAAATCACGATCATCGTGTTTGGCGAGCTTCAGAGGAATGTCGGTGCCAGGTAGGTCAAGGTCCTCCGACCAGTCATCCGCAATTGCCTTCTTGATCTCTTTGCCCTTCAGTCGTCGTATAGTGCCACCCTCCAGTGCAGAGCGCGGTATATTGGCGGGTAATGGTATTCCTTTGCTCTTCGCAAGTGCTACAGCGTCCTTGATCGAGGCCTGTTCATCAACCAATACGTCCCAGTTTTCGTCTCCCTGATTCGACTCGGATCGCATAGACAGGCGCGACGACACCGAATCTCGACGGTGTGTTTGAGGATGGGATACGACCGACGTTGCGGTTGAGGCAGTACGGAAGTGGACATCTTCCAGGTTTTCAAAGTCGTCATCGTCCCAGTTTTCCACATCAGGGCTCTCGACCGGAGTACGTTGCTTCAAAGTAAGTGGTTCCATGGCTCTCGCTTTGTTCTTGAACGTAGTGTAAAGTGTTTAGGAGGAAGTATTAAGATCGTAAAAATACGTAGAGAAAATCTGGTGCCAGTAATAGCATGAAACGGGGGTCGTGGTATTCGTGAGAAATCGTAACGTCGTGAAGAAAAGATGTTCAAACTGCGTGGTTGATCGAGCTCTGAAGCGTGTTTATCGCTCCCCGTCGAGGGAATACACCACCGATCGGGGGCAGTCGAGGGAGGAGCGACCTTTGTGTGGTCCGAGGAATGGAGAGAGATTCGAGGTCTGTAAGTTGAGGACTTTTTCGAGGTCGGGCTGAGGTCTGCCGGTAGGGGAGGCTGGAAGGTTGGTTGTCGGAGGATTTGGCTTCTTACTGATGGGCAAAGGTGGAGTTTCGGCGCGGACAAGCAGTAGCAGCCAGAAAAGCTGGGAAATGCGAAGGCAGGGACACGAAACCGGCCAATCAGAGTCGCGCTTGACGCGTTCCGTGCTGTGCCCCACTCAGATGGCGTTACGTGATTCCGCCCCGGACTGGTCATTGCTCAGCACCAAAGCTAGTTGGACAAGCTGGACTACGCTGCTTGAGTGCTACTCTGGGGTCTGGAATCTGCAGCCTTGCATGGCGGTGGGCTGATCGTCCAAAGTAATGCAGCGGCTAACTTTCATACGGTCATGGCGTCGACGTGGGTTATTCGGCTCACTCAAGCCGACAAAAGCAGCAGTCCAATATTGATCAACGTGTCACAAAAAGAAGGCGGGCATGTTCTGGATCTCGACCTCCTCGCAACCGACGGCGAAGCAGCCTACGCCGGTAAAGGTGAGGTAACAAGTTTCAGCGAAACTGCTCTTGTGCTGAAATTCATGCAGTCAGGCAGCGCAGCCTCAAGAAATTGCGCGCGAAGAATTATGAGGGGAATGACGAGGACTGGGCAAGCATCATTTCTTCCATTCTCGGCACAGACACGAAAACCTCAGCCAACATACAGCGTAAGAGCAATCTCGAGGTGACGTGTTCAGTATCGGGCAAGGATCCTAAAACCCTCTTATCAATCACCATCAACAATAGAATCGAAGAGATCACACAGCGCCTTGGGGCTATTGAACTACCTCAAACGGAGGACACCGACGATGTGGACCTCTTTGGCTGGGCATCGCAGGCGGCTGAGAAGCGGGATGAGTTGCAAGAAGATGTCACAAGTCTGAAAGCGCAGGTCAAGACAAAAGATGAGGTGGTGGCAAGCCTCCAGAGACAAATTGACGAATTGGTCGAAGCCAAAGCTGAGCACGAACAGCAGATGCTATCTAAATTTGCACTGCTCCTCAACGAAAAGAAGCTCAAAATCAGGAATATGCAACGGATCCTGTCCACTGCAAAGACGGACAAGAAAAAATTGAAGGAGCTGCAAGCTGTCATTGGGGACGAAGCAGTCGGTGCAACTCGACGTCGTAAGAGACCAGCTGAGGACGTCGTGGACGACGATGATGAGAGTGATGGCTTCGAGACCACAGGCGCGGAACCTGCCACTAATATCGAGAAAGAAGCCGGATCACCAACTTCTAGTGATTCGACCCCAACACCCTCAGAGAGTGACGAGGATACCGATGAGGACAACTTGGATGCCCCGGCAACATATTCGGATCAACCAAGAACTCGAGCAATGGGTCCAGACCATGACCAAGGACAAAGCATGACGCAAGGTAACGGGCAGACTAAGGCTCAGGCTCTGGCTCAAACCACCCAGGCTGCAGAACAGAGCGACAGTGGTGACGGCAACGATGACAACGACAATGACGAGGAAACAGCGAGCGAGGATGACGAACTATGAGCACGCAAGGACCTAGAGTGGTCTTCTTGATGAGTTACGCAACAAAACCAAATTGGATACCCATTCTGCTCGGAACCAGACCAGGTCTTGATATGGGATCATTTTATTCTCTTTCATTGAATGGTCAACCATTTCAACCATCTGTCACTATATTCGGAGAGCTTGGGCTATATTCTCGCGTGTCCCCGTGACAGGATCCCGTCATATGTCTTGACGGCTTCAGTAGTTGAAGTTTGGCTGGTCACGTTGATTGGGGTCATATTGATCCATGTCCCCATAGTGCTTGTCATACATGTGCTCGGCACTCTTCTTAGCATGTTCTCTTGCTCTGATCTTGTCATATTCGTCCAAGCCCTTCGTCTCAGCGAGTTTGTCGACTTCGGCTCCAACGAAGCCGGCAAGGAGTTCTTTGGCAAAGCCGTGGTTGACCGTCTTGCCTAAAAGGTGTCAGCGATGCACTTATGTTGCGAGTGTTGAAAGACTCTCATACCTTCTCTGCGTTGGCGGTCCTCGTAGAGCTTCATGCCCTCAAAGGCGGCTGCGCCACCAATGAGTTCATGAGAGAATTTGCCCTCATGTCTTTCGTCCCCGTTGTCTGACTTCTTGTTAGACTCATGTAGGTAACACTGACCCATCGCTACTGGTGCAGGCGTTCGAGATTACTTACAGACTTGCTGATGAGCGTCACGGCTTTCGTCTAGAATAAGTCCGGTCAGCATGGGATGGAGGGGCAATGAAGAGACGGTCAGGTCTACTTACCCCAACCAAACATCTTGATTCGAAGTGCTGATTCTGATAGAGTTGCTTGTGGTTTAACAGTCGAATGAAAAAGGTCGGATAAGCTTGAGAGTCTTGAGTATGTCAACAATCAAAGAAGAAGCGGAGGACAGGAGGGGAGATATATAGGTTTTCAGAGGCGGTTGTCTTGTCACCGCCCCAGGGGCTTGAGTGAAATCAGAACACGCACTTGCCCCTCGATGCATCCCTCTCGCTGGTAGTTCGCCATTGGGATTGCGTAGATATGACCCCACCTCGGTCACAGCAGCGGCCAGCCATTTAGCTTGATGTTTCTTCTGTTTCACCTTCTACGAGCATTGCGTCAACATGTGAGCTTTGCTCAGCAGCTCAAAGCCCCTCCTAATGTCCCCTGCAAACACTGCTCGAGCCGGTGCTGGGTTCCCGAAACAAGATTTCAGCTGGCCAACAGTGGCTGTGCATCACAGTGTCTCTCTTCACCGTTCCATCACTGATCCGAGCCATGCATCAGTGATGCTGGAGCCAATGCAGGTCCGCCACCCCACATCTGTTCAGCTCGCTTGTTCCCGCCATTTTCAGGGCCTTGTTCACTTCACCAGGCAATTCTTTCACTAATGTTCTCGGGTCAAATATGTTACTATTAGGCGCGCTCTGTGCAGTGACGGGTTTCGCATGTCAGCCATCTCAGCTCCCTTGGATCGCGGAAGGATGCGGGCTGCTTCAAGTTTTCACTGAGGGGCGTAAACCCGATTCAGGGCCAGGGAAACCTGGGAGCCGAGCGCCAAGCACAAAAAAGAGCTCGCGAGCATTGCTTGACTGCTGGAGCCAAGTCTAACGCCAAAGCTTGTCTCGGACCCTGACAACCTTCAACCCAGCATGCGCCCAGACGCAGAACGTCATGCTCGACGGTTCCTAGCAAGCTGGATCAACCGCAAAACGTACCGGTCAATTTGTCCAGTACCAGACCTACCCCTATTCCAGCACAAATAGAAGGGTTGGAGGATCAGCAAAAACACGTGTATACATCGCAAGAAACCTTGTTTCTGTCCAAACCATCCCTCGATCCCTGCGCCACAATGCCTCACCAGCATCTGGGGGCCGTTCCAACCGCCAGCGACTTGCCAAACGTTCTCAAACCGATCCTCCATCTTCCACCAGACAACAAGCCAACGAATGTGGTCATCTTCCTTCCAGGCTTAGGTGACACCTCAGCCAACTTCTCGTCCTTCTCTCGTGCGCTGCAACTCCCTGACGCTTTGGCCATCACGCTCAACCCACCTTTTCCATTACCATTCCCCCTGGGACCTGGGGATCAGTGGTCTGAGGACCTTCACATCGACACCGCTACGGGTGAACTTGATCCGGACTCAACTTTGACCAAGTCCGTGGATCTAGTGGCTGAAGAAGTGATTTCGAAAGTCCTGATCAACAAGTTCAAGTACCGACCGGATCACATCCACCTCTTTGGCTTTGGACAGGGAGGTTCAGTCGGTCTAACGGTCCCTCTACACCCATCGCTATCCTCTCTACCCTCATTGGGAGGGGTTATATCAGTTGGGGGAGCTCTGCCGCTATCTGCACCTCTCACAGGCAGCAAGTCTCAGAACAAAACACCGGTTTTAATCCTTTCAGGTTCCAAATCACCACTTGCATCGGTTGGCTCCAGCCCACTAAACCGCATCAAGTCCACCTATGAGTTTGTCACTTATAATCAGTGGAAGAAGGCAGACGATTCGCTGCCTAGAAATCGAGACGAGGCTTTACCCATGATGCAGTTCTGGGCACGACGGTTAAGAAGCCGACGAGGTGTCCCGGATGGTGCGATCGAGATAACCTAACTTGGTGATACATGAGCTTTCGATTACTTATCAAACTTAGTGCAACAGTATCGCCAGTTGCAACTTGACCGATCATTTTTCAAGTCGATCTAATTCTTCCTTGGCTCTTGTCACAGCATCTTCAACCTCTTTCCGACTCTGCAGTTCGACCTCATCCTCCACGACTCGACTGGCAGCATCAACCAGCTCCTCCATCCTGCCCACAATCCTCTGAATAACAGTCCTGCCTTCGTCGTACAAGTTATGCTCCAATGCCTTTGTAGCCTTGAACCAGTCTCCTTGCATACGCCACAATGCGTAAGCAGTACCCAGCGCTGCTATCGTACCAGCTTCGTACATGCTGCCAGGTGTGATGGAAAGGTAGGTCAGAGCCGAGAGCCCGCCGGTCAGACCTGTGATTGAAAGGGTTTTGAGCACAATCTGTTGAGCGGTGCTGGTGAGATCCGCAATTGCCCGTTGCATTTGCTCAGAACGGGTACTGGAGATCGACGAAGACAAAGGGATAGGTTGGGGGGCAGGGACCATCTCGACTTCAGCGGTTCCCCTGGGATTTATCAGGACTGTCCGCATAGGAGGGTCAGTCGCAATGCTGGCTTGCGCCTGCAGGACGGGGTTGGGCTCCGTCTGTTTATTTTGGTCCGCCTCCATTGTCGAATTTCCTTCCTGTGGCAGTGGAGGCAAGGCGTCTGTTGGCGAGATACCTGCCTGAGACAGCCTACCAGATAGTTCATAGACTGCGCGCTCAGTGCGAGGAAGCCAGGCATTTGAGACAAGGTCAGTGATGATCAGACCAACATCATCCACACGCCAGAACAGCTTGTACCAAGCCAACTTGCGCCAGTTGTGGGAACTCCAAGCTGATGCGAGCCCAGATTGGAGCTCCTGGTGGGCGTTACGAGAAAATCCCTCGATGGCTTCCTCGAGGTTGGCTTTTGTTGCTGGGCTCAATCGCCGAGCTGCGTTCGATTGAGCTTCTAATGAAGCTTGAACTTGCAAGTTGGTCATGGCAGTTGTCAGTAGAGAAGAAATCAAGGCCTTCACAGGTGCCGGAATGGGTCTGTCGGATCTTGCAGCTGAAGTCAGTGAAAGCCAATTGGACAATGTGGGCATGCCTGAGTCGACCCATTTGTGTTCGTATTCTGTAGCTTCCCCTACAGATCTTCGGATTGCTGCCAGGCCATCCTCTGCTTTTGCTGCGTCCACGACCAAGACCTGGGATTGGCTTTTTGCTTGGAATCCTTTCAGGTCAACTACCAAACTCACAGATTCCCGGTCTTCTCGAGCCGTGAAATTGGTCGACGCCAATAACTCTGCCGCCAACATGAGCCCATCCAGGTCTTTCGTAACCAGCAGAGAGCTATGTACTGGTTGGCTGATAGTCGTCTGTCTTCCAGTCGCGGCGGTGGGAGTTCCAATCGAAGGTGACAGGAATGCATCTGAGGTTACTGTTTGCGCTCCTTGCAACAGCTCACCATTGCGGGGTCCACTGATGCTTGACAACAGTATCTCCATATTGTTTCTCTCGAGTACGTTCGATGGGACGTGCAGTACTGGAATGCTCGTCTTCGGCCGAGGAAGACTTGGATTCGGTACTCGCCCATAACGTATCAACACACCTCGACTGAAGTCTGGGTTATTGGCGCTTTTGATCAACTCCCTCTCCCAGCTCGCTTCGTCTTCCAATGCGTCCGCAAGCAGTAATCGGACCACCTTGCTTGCGGTATCTTGTACGTTCAGTCCCAAAATAGCCACCCTGGTCACTGGAGTTTCGGACTCGAGTCCTTGAAGGGCAAGCTGTAGTCGACTGAGGTTGATCTGGGCGGATGCTTTTTTTCGTACATTGAGGAGGGACTCGTAGAGAGGTTTATACCGCGCGGGGACGGGCTTTGTCGCGTTCACGGCAGTAGTAGAGACCAGGGTGGTGGTGGTGGATGTTGAAGCAAGCCGACGCCTGCTGTTTCTGCTCCCGGCGCTGGCTGAGGGAGCTGTCCATCGTGAAGGCCTGGTTGTCCGCCAGGTTGTGCAAGATGGGCAGAAGAAGAAGTTGTCCAGGAAGGCCTCAATCTGCTGACCAGCATAGACCCCACGGGTCCCTTTCATGGTGTGCTCAGTTATTTGAGCAGTCTTTGTCTCTGAGCATGCAATGGTGTAAGTTCAATTGGAATCGCAACGTATTAGCAGCTGCGTCTCCAAACTGCGACGTGCGGCCCGAAGTTTTGCCGCATATACAATCCACGAAACGACCGCCCAAGACGCGCTTCGTTGACTTCTTACCGTGTCCCTCTTTAAACACTCCTCGATCCTCATTGCCAGCCCACAATTCTGTCTTGTTGATGTCAAGCATATGATGCTAACCCATCTGCATACACCAAAGGAGCGAACATGGCTTCTACGACCACCATAAACACCTGCATGGAAGAGCTTTTGTTCTCCTTCCCTCTACCATCCTCAACAAACGATGTGCACATATACAAAGACAATTTCATCCGCACCATCAAGCACCACAACTATGGCCGGACGAATCAATTTGCAGTCGATGAGAAGCTTACCGGATTAGAAGAAAAGCTCCAAGTCTACAACCTCGATGATGTGGCTGCAGAGCTTTTCGCACGACGTGAGGAGCTGAAGAAAGACCACAATGACAAAAAGTGGTTGCCCGATGTTCTAGATTTTCTGCTCCATCTTTCTCACGACCCTGTCCACCATAGTCGGGTCGACAACCTTGAGAAGTTGAGGTCTCGTTCAGAGATCCCTCTCCCATTGACGTGGGAGGAGATTGACCCGGAAGATCCGATCGATCGCCGGGATGAGATATGGAGGGTCCCGAAGTATTCTGATTCCAGCTCTGATGAGGATGAAGCTCCCCTTCCGAGCTCACCAGCTTCATCAGTCAAGTCCAAGCACGAGCCCACAGACTACAAGATTGGCGAGAGAGTGTTGGAAACGTCTGTGGGTGAAGAGCCAGCGAAATTAGAAGCTGCACAATTTTGGCGCAGATCTGGACCTGTTGTGACAGTGACAGAGACCCAAGCTGTGCGGGAAGTTCTTTTTATGCTCACAGGAATCCCGACCTCCATTTTCACAATTACCGATCACGGTGTTCGGCCCAATGCACGATACTGTTTGGGTCATCTGGGAAGGACAACTTCGAGGTCCTTGCTGGAGGAGGCAGCTCGGCTCGGCTCCAAGATTGATTTTGTTCGCCAATGGCTGCGCATACCGCAGGATTCGGTCGTCATGCAATTTATCCAGAGCGCAATCAGCAGGATCATGACCACTTTCGAATTTGCCATATCCAAGCAACAAGGTGCCATCCTACACCAATCTTCGCCATCAGGTGTGATCACCCTGCTTCAGACGTTACAGAAAGCCGAGGAGACAAGTCAACCGTTGAAGGCTGTGAGCACCATCGTGCCTTATTTCACTTCGAATGACCAGATAGCCGCGCTCAACACCATCTATAGTCATTTGGACACAGCACACAGCTGCTCGAACGCTGTCGAAGTGGAGACCTACCTCCATCTTTTCCTGTCTTCCCTCGCGCTCTACTCGAAACCTATCGATTTATGGCTGCTCACCGGCAAGATCGAGTCCACAGACCCATTCTTTGTCTCCGAGAACAAGAGGAAACCGCGAATGTCGAGCACCTTGTGGCACGATTGGTTCACCCTGGCTGCTACGGAAGACCGGTTGATCCCAATATTCCTGCAGAAGTTTGCTGAAAAGATCTTCACAATCGGCAAAACTGCTGCCTTCCTAGACCATCTTGGACGAGCCGCCCCAAACAACGGCAACGGTCCTTTCGGAATCGCGGCTGCGGCAATGGAGACAGCACATCTAGTAACAAGATCACCATTGCCCTTTTCGGCAACGTTCGAAATGATCCTCGGGCGTCATCTCAGTGCCCTACTCGACACTTTCACAACCGCCCTCAGGAACAGCCTAGAGACCAGCTGTGGCCTAACCAGGTTTCTCGACGCACTTGACTGTCTCTATCTTGCGAAAGACGGTGTCCTCCTTGATAGCATCGAAAGCAAGATGTTCGACCAGATAGATCGTTGCTTAGAAATGTGGAACGACCGCTTTCTTCTCTCAGATCTCCTGGCGGAAGCATTTCAGTCCTCTGAATGTGTCGACGTCGATGCAATCACAATCCAGGCTCAATATACCTCTTCTCGAAGCATGGAAAATCGACGCCGCTCTGTCAAGATCCTAGCTGCTGTGTCCGTTTCATATCACGTCAGCTGGCCAATTGCTAATATCATCCCCCAGACTTCCACAGTCTCCTATCAACGTGTGGCTCTGATCTTGAATCAAGTCCGACGCGCCAAATCCTTGCTTGAGAGTCGAGCGTACTTTCACGTTCAACACATGCCTTTACCCTTTGAGGACATCAGCGAACACAGGCTTGCGCGACTGGTGTGCTGGCAACTGTCTCATTTTACCACCACCCTCTATAGCCATCTTACAAGCTGCACAGTCCAGCCATTTACCATGACTATGCGCCAACGCCTGTATTGCTCTTCGACCAGGAGTCTTGACGATATGATCGCGATACATGCCCACTATATCACCGCGTTGGAACATGCATGCTTGAGTAGCAAACGAATCAAACCTCTACGTGACGCCCTTGTTATAATCCTCGACCTATGCATACGATTCATAGATCTTGTGACCTCGCCGTTAACCAATGCTGAGGTGCGACCGGCTTCCGGAGACGTGCATGGGGATTTTGAAGCGAGCAGCTTTATCTCTGCACGCAGTCAGAGAAGACGTCGAGGAAAAAGACATGACGAGGAGTATTCCTCTTCAGAGGACGACGATGCTAGCATGGGAGAGGGTTACTCGACGTTCGTCCTTGAACAAGACACTTCTCTCATCCAAGAGATCATCAAGGTGAGAGACACGTTCAAGAAACAAGCCAAGTTCTTGATCGCGGGCTTGAGAGCTGTGGCTAGGAGTTCGACGTCGACTTCAGCGCAGGGACACAAATACGAACACGTACAGCAGGGATGGGAAGTGGGCGAGAATTTTGAACTGTTGGCCGACTCGTTGGAAGGCGTCTTTCCTGTCAGCAGAAGTTTCGGCTTTTGAATGAGCATCTGATCCTAGATTGGTCGAATTTGAACCGTCCAGCACCCACAGGAGCCCCAGGGGTATTTCATCGGCTCTGCTATCCAGGACTGCTCTTCATATTACTTTTTTCCCTTTCTTGCTCTTATTCTTACAACCGCTTTCGTGTCCATACGAATTCTTGCTCATTGTCCGTCCCTCATTCCCCTTAGCGGCCACAGCCGGGAATGGGGTTCATGATGTTCTTCGCCACTTCGTTTCTTCTGCATCTGTTGTGCCGGATGCATCACCATTGCCTTGCTCGGTATCTTGCCTCGGCCGAACAGTGCCAGCTCCAGGGCCCAAAGGTTCGTCGGCGCCTGGTCCGTCTTGGTCACCGCGTTCCTCGTCTGCCTCCTCTTGATCGTCACCGCCAATCCAGTTGCCCTCTTCGTCGAAGTATTCGTGCATGTTCTCTGCCGTGATCCACCCCCCGCTTCCCGGCATCGCTGGTGGCAGTCCGCCGTCTGTACTGCCTGGGAAAGCCAGCCCCGCGCGAAACAAACGGCTTCCACCTTCATCACCCTCTTCCTCGTCTTCCACAGGGTCAGGATGCAGATTAGAGCAAGTGGAGAGGGCGTTGAACATGGCCACAACAGGCGTCTGTTCAGGCTTGTCTTCTCCCTCAAGACCATCCGCGGCCGTTCCTGAGCCTGTTGAGGCGACTTGTGGTGGAGCAGAGGCGGTCGGGATCACCGTGACAGATACAGAGTCGGGCTCTGCGTCTTCGTCTTGCGCAGCCATCTCTGACGAGGGGAACGAAACTACCTGCATGTAGAGACCTTGCTGTTCGCTGGGCGAGGGTTGCGGCAGAGATTGGATTGCGTGGAGGGAAATAGAGGGGTATGGGATGGAGAGGCCTGCATTTGCATCGTTGGAGTAGAGGAAAAGTTTACTGTCAACGTCAATTTGATGTTGTACAAGGATCTCAATTGTCCAACTCACTCTGAAGTCACCCAAACATCCACATTCTCGACGACTTTTTTCTTTCCCCTCGCTTCAGAATCCCCATTTGGCTCGGCGCCATTGGCTCCTGTTTGCTGAGGTTGCTCTTGGGAGCCTAGGTGTTGCAGCAGAGGCGCGAATGCTGGGACGGAGCGGGCTTCGTGTTCTAGGACGATCAGTTTGCTGCGGTCGCTGTAGTAGTGTAGGACGGGCGGCCCATTGTAGAAAGAAGCGGGCGTCGCAGACTGATGCTCTATGAGAGGCACGAATGATGAGGCCTTCGGTGGCTCACGAAGGATCTCCATGGTGCGCTGTTGGGCAAAGGAAAAGTTATGCTGGTGTTCTGTCTCGACTGTAGCACTTTGGAAATGGGAAATTTTCTGGCCGTTGGCGGGGATCTTTTTCCCTGCCGTCTCGCCGCGCCTGAATTCAATAATGACATTGTGCCTGCGGCAAGGCCGGGGTAAAAAGCCTCGCCTAGATGTGGATCCACCCTGGCCGCGCAAACAGACCAACTCAAAGATTCGATCCAATCCATCCCATCCATCACATTTGTTTCTTTTTTTTTCCCCTTTAGGATTGTTATCTGCCATTTTCCAGCTTGTCCGGTACATAGACGAGTTCTGTATCATGGCTGATGGCTAACAGCCTTTGTTCAACATGGCCGTCGCAAAGCCCGTGCGGTTCCTAGGGGCGCTGTCCGTGGTTCTGGTCTTCTTCGTCATTTATCAGTACCTGCGCCCAGTCCAAACTATTCAACCGCCCGGTACCGTGGTTGGCAATGGCGACAAGATCGAGAACTGGGAGCAGGATCCTCTGCTAGAGCGTGTGTATTCTCTCTTGGAATCAATGCGACGACGCTAACATCCATCTCAGCAATCGGCGAGCCTCCCGAACCACTCTGGCGACACACCGAACACGACTATACCCCCGACAGCCTCAACTCAGCGCGCATCAATGCCACACTCCTATCTCTCGTCCGCAATGAAGAACTCAATGAACTTCTCCCGACCATGAGGCAGCTCGAAGAGACCTGGAACTCCAAGTTCAACTATCCGTGGACATTCTTCAACGATGTCCCTTTTACCGAAGAATTCAAAGAAGCCACACAGGCTGTCACAAAGGCCAAGTGTGCCTACCATGTCATTCCGAAAGAGCACTGGGAAATGCCTTCCTGGGTCAGCCAGGAACTATATGAAGAGTCGGCCGAGATTCTGAAAGAGAACGACGTCCAGTACGCGGGGATGATCTCATATCACAAGATGTGTCGATGGAACAGCGGCATGTTCTACCGCCATCCAGCCCTCGAACATACCCAATACTATTGGCGCGTGGAGCCAAAAGTCAAGTTCTTCTGCCAGGTCGACTACGATGTCTTCCGCTATATGCAAGACCATAATAAGACCTATGGGTTTAATATCAATCTGTTTGACTCGCCGGAATCTATCCCATCCTTATGGCCAGAGACCATCAAATTTCTGGCAGCCCACCCAGAGTACCTCCACAAGAACAACGCCATGGCATGGCTGGTGGACAATACTCGCCGACCAGAAAACAACATCAAGGCACATGGATACAGCACCTGCCACTTCTGGTCCAATTTCGAAATCGCCGACCTGTCGTTCTGGAGGAGTCAAATCTACGAAGACTATTTTACTCACCTGGACCGGACGGGTGGGTTCTTTTATGAAAGATGGGGCGATGCACCTGTCCACAGCATTGCACTGGGCCTTTTTGAGGACGCCAGCAAGATCCACTGGTGAGGCAGATCCAACTTCCACGAGACGAGACCTGAAATGGAGACTGACAGACAACAGGTTCAAGGATATCGGATACAACCATATCCCATTCTACAATTGCCCCAACTCACCTAAGTGCAGTGGGTGCACACCCGGCCAGTTTTACGGCGGGGAACCTTGGCTGCAACGAGAAGACTGTCGACCGCTATGGTTCAAATATGTTGGTATGGGGTGAATGAGAGGTCGGGTCATTTTGGATCACGCAACCAGATAACTGGGGCATTCCATACCTATTTGTATATGGGACACCTTGCCGTAGACGTGCCGAGGCCTGGGTTTCACTTTTTGTACTAGGCATATTAGGTCTGGTGATCTGCAACATGTACTGTACCCTGGAAGAACGTATTAGCTGGTCTAGATTCCCCAACCATTTTTGCATGCATGGTGAGATCCTTCGCTTGTCACATTGTTCCTGTCCTTGAGAGCTGTGCATAAACGTGCGGACGGAGGACCCTAACCTCCGCACCGGCGGTGGTGGCCTTGAAGTTATTGTGGCGGAGATAAGCATTGCGATAGGAATAGTTAAGAACCGTGGCGTTGAAGCTTGGAGGGGGGGCGTCCGACTCGGGCGTTTCTCTAGGTGCCACCAAGGGCGATTGGGGGTGCTTACTTGAACGCCGAGGCGAGCTTGGCAGTGCCTAGAACGCCACGAAGCACCCAATACAGTCAATGTCGGTGCGGCCATGTACGGGAAGACTCCGTGGGGAAGAGTCTCCCCAATCCCTAGCATCCACACCTTCTTCCTCCTCACTAATCTCTCCCTCTCTTCCCCAGGGTGGCGTCGAGGACCAGAAAGAATACGGTGTATGATATCAAAGAGGGCTTCACAGACCCTCGCCTTCTCCAATACTTGCGGCGTGGTGGTTGTATCTGCCGACGGAAGTCCCGCTATTCCGTCAAAGATGCACTGATCACCGCTCAAGGTCCGGTTCGGCAGTCACATTTGTGGCCATCATGCACCTTGTCACAGACCACGTCTATCCCTGTCCCTGGCCACCGATAACTCTCACAGCTGCTCCGAACGGTGTACAACGGTGCTCCATACCGGCTCCTACTCGTGACGACGGAAGCGATCATGTCCAAAATTCCACTGCGACCTCGTTTTTTGCGGGGAACATCAGCTGCCACGAGTGCGAAAAGCTCGTGCTCGCTCACACCGTTGATCACTGCCGTAATGCATCCAGGGACCCAGCTCATCTGGCAGATCAACTACCATGCGCCTGGGTCAGGGTAGCGTCGAGACATCCCAATAAAAAGGGCAGGGTTCCCCAGATGTGAGCCCGCTGGATTTTACTTCCCAGCTCCTCTTCCTCTCCGATCTCCCTGCTGAGTATTTGAACTGCTGTGCAATAATACCTTTAGGGCTCCGTCCCAGCCTTGCAAGCATGGATTCCAAAGAGATCACCGAGAAGCCTATCGCAGGTGTCACCCCTCCGGACGCTGTACACTCAGCCTCCTCCAAAACATCAACTAGCGATGAGAAGCCCACCGTCACCACCGCTGAAGAGATCTCCTCTGAGAAGCACAACGACATCAATGCCCACTATGACCCTTCTGCCGCCCCTCGCTATACCAAGGAAGAGGAAGATGCTGTCATCCGCAAGCTGGACTGGCATCTGATGCCACTGATTTTTGTCCTGTACTCCCTGTCCGTCCTGGACCGCTCCAATCTGGGCAATGCCAGAATTTCTGGAATGGAGGACGACATTGATCTCAGTGGAAAGCGGTATGACTGGTTGGGAACTGCATTTTACATCAGCTGTGAGTTTTCCCGCTTCTTCTTCTTCTTGTGTTTGGGCAACCACAACGACGACCCTGCGGATCAGGTCCACCGCTTGAAGCCATTGACTAACATGCTATTACACAGATATCCTCTCACAATGGACGCAAATGGGCTGGAAAGCCTTTCCACCTCATGCCTGGGTCGCCTTCGTCGTTTTCGGGTGGGGAGTGGTTTCCACTATGCAAGCAGCGTGTTCATCCTGGGCTGGTGTGATGGTTTGTCGAGTCATTCTCGCCATCTTTGAAGCTGCCTATGGCCCTGGCGTCCCGTTGTATCTCTCGTTTTTCTACCCGCGCGAAAAGCTCGGTCTGCGAACCGGAATCTTCTTGAGTGGCTCTGCCGCCGCCAACGCCTACGGAAGTGCACTCGCGTACGGCATTTCTCAAGCCAAGGCATCCATCGGGCCCTGGCGCATCCTGTTCATTGTTGAGGGTGCTCCTACATGTCTGCTGGCCATCGTGGCGTGGTTCTGGCTTCCAGACTCGCCCGCCCACTGCAAGTTCCTGTCGGAGAGAGACAAGGCGATTGCAATAGATTTATCCTTGAGACAGCCTGGAGACAGGACAGGGAAGAAAGGTCTGCAGTGGAAACAGGTATTGGGCGGATTGATGGATTATCGATGTGAGTTTTCTCCTTTCGTGAGGTTTCTGTTGCCCACTAAGAGTATTTGATGTCCCTCCACATGTTCATCCCTCAACTCTCTGGGAAGCTACACAAGAGACATGACCCCCCCCCCCCGGCCCGGTCTCATGGTGTTGCTCGATTAAAACAAAACACGTTCCTTCATTTTGCAGACCATGATTTCAGGAAGAAAAAGGGACAAGACTGACATACTTACTCACAGCCTACCTTCCCCCTCTGATGTACTTCGGCTGCAATGTCTGCTTCGCCTCTCTACCGCTCTTCGTCCCAACCATCATCAGCGAAATGGGTGCCTTCTCCACCATCCAATCCAACGGCCTCTCGGCTCCACCATATGTATTCTGCTTCCTCGCAATCTGCGGCACAGCCTTCATCTCTGACCGCCTGAACATGCGTGGCATTTTCGTCGCCATCCCTGCATTGATTGCTGCGGTCGGGTACATCATTCTGGGCACTACCTCCGGGGTGGCACCGAGGTATTTCGGCCTTTTCCTGGCCGTCCTCATCTTTGTCTCGGTGGCAATGACGTTGACATGGGTTGGCAACACCCACGCCACGGACAGTAAGCGCGCTGTAGCGTTAGCTATCCTGGCGACGGGTGGTCAGTGTGGTCCCGTGTTGGGCACAAACATCTTCCCCAAGAGCGACGCCCCTTATTACCGCAAGGGCATGTGGATCTCGTGTGGTGCGTGCCTGATCGTGGTAGTCACAAGCGTGATGCAGATGGGACTGCTGTACCAAGCCAACCGGAAGCGGGACAAGAAGTACGGCCGCGATAGGGAGACTGTGCACCTCGAGGAGCCCGGTGAGTTTGGTGACGATAAGCAGTTTAGATACGTGGTTTGAGAGATGGTCATTTGTAAGAATGAACTTGACCACGGAGCATTCAAGAGTTCTCAGGAGGGAACAGGTGAAGATGGGGAGGGTAAAGGCAAGTCATCGTCACCGGTCACGCTTGAGACGTGACTGTGGTGTGCCACTTGAGGGATTCAATGAGGCTGAAACCCCCAAAACACTAGGTTTTAAACAGTGATTGATCTGAACAGTCATGACAACAAGGTCCGCAAGAACTATGATATTCACGGGGGCCTTGCAAATGTTGCGATCCCAATAATGAGAATAAGCATACATGCCTCATTGTCGCTTGTACAAGTAGCCTACAGTACTCGCCAGCCGTGCCTGCCCATACTGATAAACGAGGTACGTACCTCGTACTCAGTACCGTGTACGTAAAATTGTTGCTCAACCTGTGGTTCAGGCGGCAAGGTGGGCTAGCCGCTTCGGGAATGGTCCTAGTCTGCACGCCGCTATCACTTTCAACGGCCGATAAGAGGTCTCATACCTGCTATTCTTCATCTGCTCCGTGACGCTTCGACAACGTCGCCGTGTCCCTCAGATTTCCGTAGGCCGGGTCACTCACGGTTGGCCATGCGTTCTAGCGGTATCGGTATCTGTTCGGAAACAAAATGACACTAGGTTCTCAGTCCTTTGATTATCGATTTGCCCCTATTGAAATAGATTCCAACGGCACACGGTTTCATCCTCCAAATGAGCTTGAGACCCCCGACTCCCTCTTCACAACGGGGTATCCGTTCGCTGCTACCATACCGTGGCTCCGTTGGCTTCGCCGCACAAATAACCGCGAGTGCCTTATTTTTGCTGACGGCGCTTGCCTTGGGAATGGCACCGACCAAGCAAGGGCTGGCTGTGCGTTCGTCTTCCACCCTACTACCACGAACTCTCCCGCCGGGTATACGTCGTTCAGACTAGATCTCAATGGCCCACAAGGGACGCGTGAGCCGCAAACAAGCAATCGTGCCGAGCTACGAGCCACTATTGGAATTCTCCAGTTTCGTGCCTGGGTTGGCGAGGGCATCCAAAGACTTGTCATTGCGACCGACTCTTCATACGTGGTTGACTGCGCTACGCATAGAATTCATACTTGGCAGACTAACGGGTGGAGGACATCGGGGCGTGAACCAGTCAAGAACCGAGATCTTTGGGAGTTGTACCTGACAGAACTACGGCGCGTTAGCGACTTAGGATTACAGGTTCTCTTCTGGAAAATTCCAAGAGAATGGAACACCACAGCTGATGCACTGGCAAAACAAGCTGCCACTATGGCTGATGAAGAAGAATTTTCGAAAATCGTTGGCCTTGGTTGTTAGCAACCCCGTGGCCAGACCACTACTTTAAGGGGTCGAGAGTCGCTTCATGGGCTTCAAACATCTTCCAACCTCCCGGTGATCAGCCGACATTCACGAATCAAAAGGTGAGAAACCCGAAGAATAAACCATATTGTCTAATGTCGTGACAGAAGCTTCAGGGGGGGGGGGGGGGATCAAGGCCCGGGTATTGTGTGAGAACAAGATCCTCCCCGTAGTGGTCCATGAAGCAAAGGCTCGAACAGATAGATAGACAGACGACGGATCGCCATTCTCAAAGCCCGTGTGGTGCGCGTTTTGAAATACATAGTATCCACGAGTCCTTGTAAAGAGGACGTTCAATCTTATCGGGTTCCAGGTTCCACCCTTCGACCCTCAACCTTGAACCTTGCACCTCAGCCGCATGGTGGCATGGGTGTGCGTCGCCGAATAGATCCTGATAGATATCACCATTTTGGAGACCGTCGCCACCGTGGACTTACAGTTTTCTTTCCTCCGTATTGGCCAGAGTCCGCGTTGAGCTGGACAAGTCGTCAACGTGGAGGATTTAGAGGGATTATCCGTCAGCGTCGTTGTGGCCTCCTTGGTGATCGAAGGGGGGGTGGGGGCAGAGCAACTGGTCTGGAAGCTGGCGGCGGGTGTCAGTGGAAGTTTTGTTGTCGAATTCTCCTCAAATTGGGGAGCAAGGGCATCTCAAAACGACGGAAATGGCTCTAGATGCTGTCGTTAGTAGCTTCAACCAAAGGAAACGAGGCCCCTTGCTCAATGACGGTGACGGTCCATCGGCGTAGAAAACACTCGGACAACCTCCTCTTCTGTTGTGGAAACCAATTTCAAACTTGAGGAGAAAAGTAAAACCGAAAAAGACGTAATGAGTCTCTCACTCAACCCGGACGTGATCGTCTTTGAAACTGTACAAGTTTTACTACATCGTAGGTAGTCTCTGAAGATGTTGCGCGCGAAGCTAATGAAGGGATACATGTGCGAGTCCCCTCATTCTGGCTTCCTCTGGTCCGAAACACACCCTGCGACTCTCCTATTCCATTTTCCCAACCACCAATGCACAAGCTTTATGACCAGCTCTTCCTCTTTTCTCTCCATCTTTCACAACATCGCCTATGGGTTGTGGTATGGGCTGTCACTGTTTTCGGGATAGAGGTCTTCTTTCAGGTTAATCCCGAGCTCTTCGCGCAGAGGTTTCAGCTCCTCTAGGTATTCCTGATATTGTTGAATGTTCTCGACCTTTGCTTTGATGCCTGTTATTGCGAATATTAGACCCGACTGCCTTCCTGAAAGAAATTCTCCGCAACGGACCTTCAAATATTCTCACAGCTGTAGGGAAATCGTTGACACGTCTGGCAGCTTTCAAAGCAGCTGTCACAACCCCGGGAGAAGGGACGAGATCGTAGGCAAAGGCATTGTTGAGGTTTCGCTGTTTATCTAGATTAGACCAGACAATATAATTGGGGCTTGCCATTCTTACCTGAAGCTCAAAGACATCCTGCACAGCATCGAATTCCTTCTCATATCTGTAACAGAACTCGTCAGCCAAGCTCTTACAGCCAATGTGTTTTGCAGCAGCGCCAAATAGTGCTTCGACGACCAGTATACCCCAGACCAAGCTCCATCGGGACCGTACCTCGCAGAGAATTCCTCGAACGTTTCGTCTTCGTGGCCGGCACTTCTTTGGATGGCCGAAGAGCTGAATGGGGACCTTGCGGAAAACGATTGAGTGACAGCTGGAGCTCTCTTGAACGACCGGGTGCAGGGTCTGAGGAAGGCGGAAGTGGCGGGACGAGCTGTGAGACGAAACATGGCGAGAGAAGCCATTGTGCAGTGGGCAAAGTAGAGCACAGGGCGGTTGCGTAGAGTGGTAGAGTGAGAGAAGGTGGACCAGATGTTGTGTTCAAAGTCTGGGCGGATGTCGATTGAGGTTCTTCGGTCACCTGAGATTTGCTTGCCCAGGCAGGATAATCGGAGAGCTCCTGAGTGGTTGAAATGACGAACGTCAGCCAAGTCGGACACGTATTTGTGGGTGGTATTTGAGCTGTAATGTGACTGACAAGGGCTGTATTGTAAATCACAGGTATCTGATTGGTTGTGAGGCCTCTACCAGTCCCAAAAGGACCATCTATATTCGCCAGTTGCCTCAATTGATACTTATGGTAGCTGGCAATGATATTAAGTACATAGCATCCACTCTCTCCCGTGCTCAACCCTTTACTTCTTCTCTCTCTCGAGTTTGGCGCATAGACGGGTAAAGGGACACGGTATCAATTTTTCCTCCAATCAGGTCTTTTCTGCGGCTCCCGTTTTCAACACGGCAGACGCGCGACAATCGCAAAAGTTTCTCCCTCGGCGGAAATTGAAACCAGGTACACAACCAATGGGAAGGTGCGGCTGCAGCGGGCCTTGGCTATTACGACAGAGGCTGCGCGCATCTCAACAAACGAGTTTCCCCTGATTTTTTTGATTATCCCATAGTTGGCTTCCTTCTGGCACCCATTGGCACCATTGGGCACTCTCTGTTGGGACATTTCCATTTTCACTCATCCCTCTTCTTCGTCCTGCAATTTTCCCATTGCAACCGCCGCCACTGTCCGCGCTGCCGGCTTGAAAAAATATATCTCACTCCCTTCCACCTCCTTCCGATTGACCACTACTTCATCTCTTCGCGTTCGCCTCTGCTTTTTGTCCTTTTCTTCTCCTTCACACCCTCTCTAGTTGATTGTTTTTCAGTCACTCCTTCCCTTTCGATTCGGCGCTCGCGTTTACGCCCTCTCGGTCCGTCCTTCACCTGCGACTGCGAAATTGACGAATTCTTTCAATATGTCGGACGATATTCTCAAGTCTATTCCCCTTCCTACGCTCGATCGCCCCTTCGGCATCGAGCTATGGCCTATCTTCGAAAAGGCCTATTCCGCAGTCCTTGGTTATTCGCCGATGGACTTCAAGTTTGAATCCGGCAAGACACCCATGTCGACATTGCCGGAGACTGTGGTCGCCTTGATCTCGTACTATGTTATTATTTTTGGCGGAAGAGAATTGATGAAGCACCGCCAGCCATTCACGCTCAACGGTGCTTTTATGGTCCATAACCTCTATCTCACCATCATCAGCGGTTGTCTGTTGGTGCTGTTCGTTGAACAGCTGCTCCCTACCCTTGTGCGGGGTGGTGTCTTCCACGCCATTTGCAGCTACAATGGAGGTTGGACGCAAGAATTGGTTGTGCTCTACTATGTGAGTCTGCATGTCTGACTATTAAGCTGGCGACACTTTCTAATTTACGCAGTTGAACTACCTCACCAAATATCTCGAACTCATTGACACGTTGTTTTTGGTCCTCAAGAAGAAGCCTCTGACCTTCCTCCACACCTATCACCACGGTGCAACTGCGCTTCTCTGCTACACTCAGCTTATTGGGCATACTGCGGTCTCATGGGTCCCTATTACGCTGAACTTGATGGTGCACGTGGTCATGTACTGGTCAGGGAAATTTGCGCGCAAAATTGTGTACGCGGCTGACAATTTTCTAGGTACTATTTCCAATCAGCTCGCGGTATCAGAATCTGGTGGAAGAAGTACATCACCATCATGCAAATCATCCAGTTCGTCATTGATCTTGGTTTTGTTTACTTCGCGTCGTACACCTACTTCGCCAACTCCTACTTCTCCTGGCTGCCGAATGCAGGCACCTGCGCAGGCGAGGAATTTGCAGCCATCGCCGGCCTTGTCATTCTGAGCTCTTACTTGTTGCTCTTCATCTCATTCTACTTCGCAACCTACCGAAAGCAAGCCATTCAAGGACGACCGAGAAGGAACACTGGCAGAGAAGCTTTGATCGCTATGAGGGATCTTCCCCTTCCTGACCCACACAAGGTTCCATCGGCGCTTGGAGATGAGAAGAAGAGCAATGGTGCCATTACCACCGGCCGATCGAATGGTCCAACCACCCGATCGCGAAAGGCTTAGACAGTCGAAGCGTACAATCCTTTCCGAAGGATAGACCTTCATTGTCTAATGCGGGAGCAGTGTCCGAGAGAAGACAACGAAGAAATTCAATTGAGTTGCAGGAAATCAGCCAACAGCTGGTTTTTGTCTTACTGGACAACTGAACCTGGCGGCAAAGGGGTGCCGCCTATTACATATTGACGTCAAGCATGACTCGAGTCTGGTTGGGGGGTATGCCAGGGACGACTCGGAGCCGAGCAGATCGAGGGGATCTGCTGGAAACCTGGCAGAGGACAGTGTACAAAAGTTTGCCGTTTGCTGCCTCGTTGATGACGGAGAGAAGGGGTCTCGGGATTTTCCTGTTCAAGACTTGGTGGATGCCAGAAGGGTAGGACCACCGTTTCTCCTTTTTCTTTTTGCATTGTGTAATTAGATGGTACTCGCTATTAATGCACGAATTCTAATGCGGACGACAAAGGGGCTCGTTAGTAGAGTTGATGTAGTTTGCAAGAAAGGAATAAAAATTTGAAAACTCGAGATTGACATGCTGCAGCCCTCACTCTAGCTGTCTCGGAACAGTCTTGCTTTGAAACGCGAGCATGTAAAAGTCTCAATTTATGTATCTATCTATGTATCTGAGGATGTCTATTGTTTCACAAGCGGCGGAATTTCAGGCTTCAATTGAGCCATGCATAGCAGAGAGGTGCATTTATCTCAGTCAATTACCCCTTTTCCCATGAGCACGGCAACGTCAATGTACAACAAGGAATGAAGCGTGAAATTCAGATACGACCCTCAATCCTGGAATCGAACAGTGCTGGTAGTGTATCGTGCGTCTCTCGAAAGCGAGCCCTGATCTCCTGGTGTCGGGTATTCTTGGTTACAACAATGCCCTTCCTTCTTTCTTTGCCTCTTCAACGCCATGCCTATCTGCGTTCAAAGCGGTCAAGGACCCCGTGTCAAAGGCCTCCTATCTATCCAACCCATCTCCTCGCACTCTGGAACAATCTCAACCACGGCCCGTACTCGCCCCAGTCGCCCCACGCGTCCTTCTCTCCCTTGACCGCGTGGTCGGGGATGTAGCTGCCCACGCCGGCCAAGATAGTACGTTCGGGATGAGGCATCAGCGCCAGGACACGTCCATCCTGGCTCCGCACGCCAGCAATGCCCGCGGGACTCCCGTTCGGGTTGGCCGGGTACGCCGTCGTGGGCTGCAGGGATTTGTTGTCGACGTACTGGATGGGTGCGAGGTTGGCGTACGCGAAGTCGTGAGCGAGAGAGGCGTCCCAGGTCTTGTTGCCCGTGTGCGGCGGTGGGAGATCGGTGGTGAACGACGCGCGCCCTTCACCGTGTGCGACGGCGATGGGGAATGAAGACCCGCTCATGCCGTGGAAGAAGACGCTGGGAGCCATGCCGGATTCCGCTGGGGGGTCCGACACTTTGACCATGCAGACTCGGGCCTCGTACTGTTCGGATTCGTTCCGCTCAAAGGAAGGCCATTTGTCTGCGCCGGGAATCAGCTCTTTGAGTTTGGAGAGGACCTGACATCCGTTGCAGACGCCCAGCGCGAATGTGTCCTTCCTTTCGAAGAAGGTCTGGAATTTCTGGCGTGTTGTGGGGTGGAAGAGGATGGATTTTGCCCAACCCTGGCCTGCACCGAGGCAGTCGCCAAAGCTGAAACCGCCGCAGAGAGCAAGACCCACGAAGGAAGAGAGATCATGGTCGATACCAAGGTGTGACTGGTGTGGTTTGGGGTCCAGAATGTCGGACATGTGGACGTCTATCGCAGTAAAGCCGGCGGCTTCGAAAGCGAATGCCATTTCCGCGTGGCCGTTGGTGCCCTGATCTCGCAAAATGGCAACTCGTGGTCGAGCGGTGGGACGCACGTAATTGAGTAACGACGCTTTGTAGGTGTTGATATTCTCCTTGGGGTCGAAGCTAAGATTATAGCTTAATCCTGGTTCAGCATCATCGAGGATCGCCTTGTATTCCGAGTCCGCACATGAAGGATTGTCCCGAAGTCGTTGAAGCCAATACGATGTGTTTGACCATTTTTGTTGCAACTCTCCACGAGTTGCACGGTAGATCAGTTTCCCACCGTGATAGATCGCCATATTCTGAGAGGAAGACTTTGTGGAAACACGACCGATCTTGTGGATAAGGCCGGGAGGAGGACCACACGTTGCGAAACAGGCCTTGAAGTGATTCTCGTCAGATTTACGGACCTGGAACACCGCCCCCAATTCTTCGTTGAATAACGTAGATATTACATCCGGTGTGTTCGGTGTGGGACATATGTCGTTGATCATGATTTCTATACCGCAGCGACCAGTAAATGACATTTCTGCCAGTGTCACGAAGAGGCCGCCGTCGGAACGGTCGTGATATGCCAGCACAAACCCTTGTTCATGCAGTTGTTGCGTTGCGTCGAAAAAGTCTTTGAACAAGGAGACGGAGCGAATGTCGGGCGCTTCATCGCCAATTTGTTTGAAAGATTGTGTGAGAGCGGACCCTCCCAATGCGCGATGTGCGAGACCCAGATCCACGAAAAACAGAGTCGTTTCGCCCACTTCGTTGTATCTTTTTAGCTGCGGGGTCCACGTCTTCCTGATGTCCAGAACGGGGGCGAAGGCAGATATAACAACCGATAAGGGACTTGTGACTTCCTTTGCCTCCTTGGTTTGAGAATCTGTCCATTTCATCTTCATGGACATGGAATCTTTCCCAACCGGAATTGAGACGCCGAGTTTGGGGCACAAATCCATGCCCAAGGCCTCCACAGCTTCATAAATCCCTGCACCTTCGCCCGGATGAGTGGACGCGGACATCCAGTTGGCGGACAGCTTGACCTGATGAAGGCGATCGGGTAGATCTGCAGC